GGAATAAATTAATTCACTCATTTAAAATGCTGACCAATGTCTGGCATATAGTGCATGCTTAATAAATGAGCCTATTACCATTTAAGACAAATCACACAGCTTCCTACTTCAGGGCCTTTGCACAGCCTACAAGTGCTTCCTCTCTTCCCCTTGCAGCCTTTGTTCAGTTATGTCTAACCAGTAATTCAAACGTCACACCTCAGGGAAGACTTCCCTAACTTTCTAGATTAGGCTATTTCATCTTAACACACTCTATACTTTTCCTGCATGGCACCTACTTGAAATTATTAATTTGTGATGCTGATTAACAACAGATGCATTTCCCATTATACTTAAGGAAGCTCCATGAGGAGAAAAGATGGTATCTGTTTGGCTCCCTGTTTCATTGGTAACACCTAGTACAAAGTAGGTACTTAAAACATTTATTCAATATTTGAGGACTAATTTCTTTTCATCTAATTTGATCAAATCTTCTGCTGTCACCATGTATAAAACTAATTATAAAAACATAATAACAATACATTTTATAACAGGTTTGAACAACTTGTTCTCAGTATTTGAGGGGTTAAAAACATTGGAAGTATATTAATACTTTTTAGCTTATAAAGAGTACTTTTTTGCACAGATTTCTTTAAGAGAAAAAAATGCTTCTAGGTATAGTTTGTCTATTGTAGTTTAATTCTAAAATAGACAATGGAATGGAAGTTGGAGGAGGTTTAATCTAGCAGTTAAGTGGTTCAGATATAAACAGAAGAAAAAGCCTCCAGCCTCCAGATACTCTTTCAATTCACTTTCATATATTTATACAATTTCTTGGTCTAAGTTTAGGGGATCTGATGACCTTACAAAAAATTATCACCAAATCCACTTTTCTACAAGAATCCACTTGTATAAAAGAATCAGATTGGTAACTTTTTCATCACAATGGTTATTTTCATTATAATCATTAAAGAAAAATGCTCCTCATGGAAATTCACTTCTCCAACAAACTAGTCACTTATTTTCAAGTTTCCAAATCATACATCAACTATTAATGTAAACAACAACAACAAACAACCTTATATCCATTTCAAAAGCACCTTCTATTGAAGTTCAGTTCACAACACCATCCCCCACTGCCCCCAAATAGTTAACTCTATGTCTTTTGATGAGTAATATTTATAAGGGAGTTCAGAGAGCCAGGCTAGGAGAGAAAGCAGATATGGCCACATTCTATAGTGTGCTGTGTTCTGTATTTTCCTCATGTTCTGCATGTTAGCATATTAAAGGCTCCTAGATGTCCTATAAACAAACCTGCTAACTGGGTTTAAACTGTTTTCTAAACTTACTTAACAGAATCTATTATCTATTAAAACTAAGTTATCAAACACACTTGGGAATTGTTGGTCTGCCTGCATTCTATGGATTAACTAGTTCAAAATAGTATTAAAAATGTAAAACCATCTTGCTTTTTAGTGGTCCCCTTGACTCCTGGTGACCTCTACTTGAAAAGTTCACAAACCAGCCATTTAATAATTCATCTTAGAGCTGGCTCTGTGGCACAATGGATGATGCATGAGACTTCTAATAATTCACCTTAGAATCTTATCAAGAGTAGATGTATACTACTATATAATTTGTTTCTATTTTGTTTTTGTTATTTTTTGAGACAGAGTCTCAGTTTGTTGCCCAAGCTAGAGTGAGTGTCGTGGCATCAGCCTAGCTCACAGCAATCTCAATCTCCTGGGCTCAAGCGATCCTACTGCCTCAGCCTCCCGAGTAGCTGAGACTACAGGCATGTGCCACCATGCCTGGCTAATTTTTTGTATATATGTTTTTAGTTGGTCAATTAATTTCTTTCTATTTTTAGTAGAGACGGGGTCTCGCTCAGGCTGGTTTCGAACTCCTGATCTCAAGCAATCTGCCTGCCTCGGCCTCCCAGAGTGCTAGGATTACAGGCATGAGCCATCGCGCCCGGCCTGATGTATACTACTATATAATTTGCAGAATCTACTTTCTTCCTTTGAAAATCAGGACATTTGCTAGTCTCTGATCTATGAGCACCTTAATACAGGCTGAGCATCCCAAATGCAAAAATCTGAAATTCAAAATGCTCCAAAACCCAAAACTTTTTGAGGGCCAGCATTGACACTCAAAGGAAATACTCATTGAAGCATTTTGGATTTTTGGATTTAGGATGCTCAACAATAGGTAAAATGCAAAGATTCCAAAATCCAAAAACACCTCTGGTCCCAAACATTTCAGATAATGGATATTCAACTTGTACTTTAATTTCTCAAGGCTTAGTAACAGCAATTTAATGAACTCAGTGACCCCAAGTTAGTAATGGGAATTTGGGAGGAAGTAAAGTGTTATCTATCTTAAAGCATCTCAGGAAACAAAATGCAGACAAGCCACCTTATCTTTGGAACCACCAACCTGAAATCCATCAAGGACATCCGGTGATCCTTTTAAATGAGTGGCTTGCTACAAGGAAGTGTGCACAAAAATATCTGGGAAATATTTTCAAAATATATGGCACCACTGGGGTTGAGACCCTGGGTATGTGTACTCTGAAAAGCTCCCCAGGTGACTTTAATGCACATTTCCAGATACAAATTCTAGTTTTGGATACTATCCTCCTCACTGTAATCATCGGCACTAAGGACAATTTAACCATAATCATTTGCAATAAAGACCTCTAAGCTTTTAAGTTTTCTTTTTGAGTGTTTCAGGCCATGTGTCTATGGCATCTTTCTCTGAGTACATTACACCCTGATTTCCTTAATGGTGTTTTAGAGTACTCTACCATTATTCCTTAATCTGAAGTATCAGAATTAAGATGTTAGAGCTATTTTTCCTTATAGTTCATATTGCTTCCACTTGATCAAACAATTCTCCCTCTACATTTAAATTTGTTTTGGAACAGCAGTTTTCATAACCCTTTTTCTTCTTCCAGAAGGTAGGAAAATGACAAATGTACCAGAAATCCCTATTGGACTATTTCAGTACATTTCCCAAGTTCAGTCTGGTCTTGCCTCTGTGTGCTTGGTTGTCCACACTTGTTAAACTATTCATTTACATTCAGTTGGCTAAACAGTCTATAGGATGCCCTCACAATAATCTCCTCCCTCTCCTTTTGTCCTTCAAGTGATCAACAGAGCAGCCTTGTTATCCTTATCTCCTCTAGACACACAGCACTACACTGCCTCATCTCTTATGAGTTGTTTCTTCGGATCAAGTTATTCCCTTCCATTTTTATATTCCAGTAACTTTACTCCACCACATCTTGGTCATATATTATGTACTAAAATATGTTCTTTATTATTCCTGTTCAGTGAATTGTCTAAGACTTTAAGTACAATTTTTGGAAAATTAATACTCTTACTCTATTTTTACATTGTCTTACAGTCTTCAGAGATCATAGTTTTTGAAAAAAATACTGAATTCATTTTGGTGACTTAAAACAAGTTATAATTTAGAAAATCATTTTATGCTTTCAAATAAAACCTCCTACATTTAATTGACTAAGAATTTAAGCACAGATTACTCTGTAAAGAAAAGCTGTTTTAGGCATACGTGAACATACTGTCTGAAGTGGGTATAGTAACATCAAAGGGAAGGGACTAGTTAAACATCACCACCTCTGCTCCTAAACTACCAAGAGCTGAGACATACAAATTTTATGGCAAGTAATCTAAAACTCTTCTCAAAATGATTAACTGTTATTCTATCCAACAAGAAAACCAATACAACAGATCTATCTAATTAGTTAAGACACCAGATACTCGTCATGCAGTTTCAGTGTCTAGTAACAATCCTCTAGACTTTAAAGTTCAGTTTCACAACTTCTAAGTACTAATAACACATTTTAAAAGGTTGATATACACTTTAAACTACACAGAAGTACCAGAGTACACAACTGTCAAGTGAATGTGTGTGTATATACCAACCTGGCAGCCTCCAAAGATTTTCAATATATATATTGCAAAGTCATTAGTTTAACTTCCAAAATTAAAATTTCACATGAAGTGGGAGAAATAGCATTAAATAGCTGAGTACTCTATTTCTAGAAAGCTGACATACACCAATCTATATTTTTCACGTCAAAACATAATTGACTTAAATTGGCCCAAGGAACAAATTTATTTTTATCTTCCCCAAAATTATCTAGGAGTGCAAAATGTAACCATTAAAAATTTTAAAAAAACAAGCATTTTAGAATATTTTTTTCAGTATTTTCAAATTCTGACAAAATACAGTTCATTTTAAAAAAATTAACTATGCCAATTTTGCTTATTGCTATTAGGTTTTTTAAAAAAACAATTTCCATTTTTGTCTTAGTTTGATTAGAGATCCAAAACCGTTTTGCCATATTCAGTAAATAATAAAATTAAACTCTTCTTTTTATATCTAAGCTAATAGCTCCAAGCGAACACTCAAAAGAAATAATCAGAAATTTTTAAAAAATTGTCAGGATAGTTCAAAGTAACAAACAACTCTATAATTAATACCACTAATGGTGACCACCTTAGGCTTACATTTTAATATTTCACTAAGTGTGTCTCAATAGACTTTTGTTTGTTGTTAAATAACACTCCCATCCACCCCTAACACACCCATGGGCTTTATTAAATTCAAGAAAATAGCCTCAAATGTTGGTCAGAATGCCAGAGATGGCCAAATTAGAAATAAAATAATTGTTGATGACAAAAATGTCCTTTTTATTCTCAACTATTTTTGATATATGTGTTTTGAAAAATTCATTATTTAACAAAAAATGACTTTTAAAATATATATTTCGAGTCTCAAAAGTTAATTTGAAAGAAATGTATACCATTTCATTTGAAAAATAATGAATAGCTTCTGTAGAGATATGTAAGATCCTAACATGAGTTGTAAATCCATCATCAAAACCATCACATTTTACTATTTAGAATTCAAGGAAGATTTTTGCTGCATTATGCAGCTGATTAAATACAGTACTTTTACATGTAAAAATAATTTACACTGAAAAACTTAAGCAAAAAGTCTGATACTTTATCAAAATAACAAGAACAAAATGAGCAATGAAAAAATAGCAAAAGCTATTACAAAAAATAGTAAATTCCTATTTAAATTCCTGTGTTTACACAGATTAAAAATGTTCATCAATTAATTATATCACACAGATTATAGCACACTTTAAGCTATAATATAGAAAGGTAACATGGGATATTTAAAATTCAAGATGCACTTACCAAAACAGTTTTAACCTGAGTCTTTGATGTCTTCAGAAATGCATTTAACAATGTATGCAAGTATAGTTATATTTTAGTGGTATAATTCAAGATTGTTTTTTTGAATTGCTCTTAATACTGCTTGTTAAATATCTGTGTAAAATTATAAATATTTATTACATTTCTTGTGTTTTCTGAACATACAGAAGTATATGAATTTAAAAGCTGTTACTTTTTTCTTGCTATACAAGCATATGAAGATGTCTTCTTAGTTCAGAATATCTTAGATTTAATTTTATTTTCACATTTTGAGTTGTGAAAATTTCTAAAGGGTCAAAAGATTACCATAGATACTTGAATATTCCCATGAAACATGTCACACCCACTGAGGAATTATACAAGCTTCACTGAAGAATATCAAATTAATCATTTCCTCCTATAAATATTTTTTTATTTCGTGTTTAGAAGTTGCAATTTTAAGTACTATTAACAGAAAATACATAACAAAAGCTTCCTAACAAGTGAAAAAAATAATTATAAATGCTGGAAAAATTGGCCTCATTAACATATTTACAGACTTTTACTTAATACATACTCCTTTGGAAATTAATTATATGACATTTTTACAAGCATTAAAATTTCCAAATCACTCTGAGTAGTGAGCACTTCAGTTCTTTACTGTCTATACCCAAAGTTGAAAGTCATTTAGTTTCAGAAGGCAGAACTGACAAGCAACAGAAATGGTCAATCTGAGATACTGTTGACATATTGTTCTGTTCCTTCACCTAAAGATGCTTCTGTTGAGTAAGTGTCTTTATGTTTTTTTTTCTCTTTGCTCTGTTCTTCCTGCAGCTTCAGGATTATGTTTCGGATTTCTTCTCTTTTTGTTCTCATTCTTGGAGGAGGAAACCAGTTTGCCAAATTCATAGGTAGTTCAAAATTGAGAACTGGATTCTGAAAATAAATATATCAAATGTGTATTAAAAATGATAATAAATAACATTTTAGTTTTAATCACATAAAGCATTCCAAAGTTAAAAGGAGAAATCAATAACTAATTCGATATGTATTTACAATTACATATAAATATCTATCACATGCTAGGCATTATGCTAGGCGCTGGATATGTAAGACAGAGTTTCTGCCTATAAATCTTAAAGTCTAGATCAGGGGCTGGCAAATGACAGCCAGTGAGTCAAATTCTGCCCACTGCCTGTTTTTGTAATAAAGTTTTATTGGAACATAGCCATACTAACATATTGACATATGGTCTGCGGATGCCATCATTAGATAACAGCAGAACTGAAAGTAACAATAGAGACCATATGGCCACAAAGCCTAAAATATTTACAAAATATGTATAAAACGTTTGCCAGGCCAAGACCTCAGCAACATAGCAAGACCCCAACTCTACAAAAAATTAAAAAATCAGTGGGGCATGGTGGCACATGCCTATAGTCCTAGCTACTCAGGAGGCTGAGGCAGGAAGATCATCCAAGCCCAGGAATTTGAGGCTACAGTGAGCTATAATTGTGCCACTACACTCCAACCTGGATGACACAGCAAGACCCTGTCTCTTTAAAAAAAATAAAAATAATGCATGTGCTGAGTGCTTGTGAAGTGCAAACCACTGCGGAGCAACCCAAACATGGACCCTGCCCTTGGCAAGCTTTCATTCTCTAAAACCATGAGAAAAGAGAGATGTTTTCCTGACTGATATAGAGAGAAGGTCCTTAGAGGAGGTGCTTTTTGATGGTCCCCTAGGAACAAACAGGACTTAAACAGGCCTCATGAACAAGGAAAGGGGGCGCAAGGGAGGCCAGATGCAGGGGGTGGGGGTGCCCATGGTGCTGGGCTGGGGAAGCCAGCTTGATGGGGGCACAGACACAGATTGAGGCAGCCCAGGGGAGGGGCAGCCCATGGGGTCTCCAGGGATGAGTAAACTCGGGCTGGGAGGAGGAGATCCCTGCAAAGAAAAACTGGCCTGTGCAGAGCATGCAGCCAGGAAATCGCAAAACACATTCAGGGAACAAAAGCACATTCTGTGGGATATTAATGGGGCCCCAGGGCCGAAAAAAAAAAAAATTAAAATAAATAAATAAATATAAAATAAAATAAAAAAGTTAGCCCCAGACAGATATCTGACATTAATGATAGTACTCACATAAATAAATAAATATAAAATAAAATAAAAAAGGCTTACCAGCCCCAGACAGATATCTGACATTAATGATAGTACTCACAGCACTTAGTGGTTCATACATTGGATGGTCAATGAAGAAGGAATGTGTCAAGATAACTGTAAAGAATCAAGAGAGGTATGTGCGGGACTATACCTCTGAAGTCAAAGCCAGAAAATGAGGAAGAAATGGTCAACAGTGTCAAATGGTGCTGGGAGATCAATAACAATTTTAATATAAAGGTAAGGATGAAGCCAGATTTTAGGTATTTGAGAAGCAAGTAGGATTTGTGGAAATGGAGACAGTGAATATATAAATACTTCGAGAAATACATCTGTGAAGAGAAGAGAGGGTAAAAGAGGCAGTCTGATTCATGGGAGAGATTTCTTAAGGTGGAAAGAGCAAATAGAAAGGACGAGTTGATTGATCAGTCACAGAATGAGCTAAATAAACCTTGGATTTGATGAACTATATATATAGTGGTTTTATGCCTTGACAGTTCTCCAATTTGGAAGTTTTTGCTCACTGGAATAACTTCTGAAATAATAACTTTCAAGCTCTTTAAAATATTTGCTCATTGTGTTTTTTACTAACATAGTCAAACGCACTATTTTATTATTTATTTTATCAGATCCAACAAACTGAAACCCACCTCAAAAAAGCTCTCTACATATTGCAATATGTATACACCACAGTCACTGAAGTTGTTTTGCTGAGGTACTTTTGGATTAGAGCCCTTCATAACATCTTTGGAAAAACTTCTTTTGCTTCCTTTTTTAACTTCCCATTCCACTTCTAAATACCTGCAATAATGCATATATAGTAAAAATATACATATACCTAAATATACATAGTTCCTCATCCCCACCAGAATACAAAACAAAGTGCAAGGTGTGATTCTGAACTTACTCTCTTAATATTTTGACAACATTTGACCGAGAAGGGCCTCTGAGTGAGTCCATAAGTAGGATACAAGGTCTGCAGGGTACAAATGACCAAAAGTTAAATACTTTATAATATTACAAAGGCATAAAAAGATTAAAAGTGGCATATTTACAATAAAATTTAAAACCTTAAAAGTTTCCTTTGTATGCCTCTCAGTAAACACTGGGGGGGAGGAGGGGAAACGAACCTTATAGACACATATAAACCTTATAGTCCAAATGATACTTAAATATCTATGGTTATATTAGATATTAAATTATAGAATGTTAATTTAACCATATCTTAGTTATAAATATTTTACACTAAAGTTCCACAGTTGGTTCCTAAAAATACTTCAAAATTAGTAGGAAGTCAGAACAATTCTGAAAATTTGGAATGTATTCATATTCCAAATCAACAAAAGTGCGACCATGCAAAAGGAAAATAATCCAATTTTAACTAAAACGTATTATAGACATCATCACATAAAAGAATTAGTTTAGAATGCTATGTTTTTCCAAGATTCCACTTCAGAACACTCTGTACAACTTAGATTCAGCTTTTAACGTTTTAATTCTGTAAAGTTATGTTATAAACTTAATTAGATGAGGAAGTGTAATATAGTGCCAAAAGTCTCAAAATGTTTAAAGATCCAGGTTCTTCCTAGCTAAAATTTTATGAAATCTGGAGGAGATCCCTTAACTATCCCAGCTCTCTATATTTTCCATTAAAAGTGAAGTTTGCTTTTCAAAATCTCTTAATGGAGTTTCCATTAAACTTTTCTACAAAAATGTCAAAGGAAGGCCGGGCGCGGTGGCTCACGCCTGTAATCCTAGCACTCTGGGAGGCCGAGGCGGGCGGATTGCTCGAGGTTGGGAGTTCGAAACCATCCTGAGCGAGACCCCGTCTCTACTAAAAATAGAAAGAAATTAATTGACCAACTAAAAATATATATACAAAAAATTAGCCGGGCATGGTGGCACATGCCTGTAGTCCCAGCTACTTGGGAGGCTGAGGCAGGAGGATCGCTTGAGCCCAGGAGTTTGAGGTTGCTGTGAGCTAGGCTGATGCCACGGCACTTACTCTAGCCTGGGCAACAAAAGTGAGACTCTGTCTCAAAAAATGTCAAAGGAGATTAAGCCTAGAAATTGGTAATACTTTATCTAAGAAGTTCAGAGTCTCTGGAGAGACTTCAGAAGAATCACGTACTTCTGAAAACCAAAACTGACTCAATACTGTTTGGAGTTCCCATCTGGAACATGTCCCATAGGACTACCTTGAGTCACTCCACAGCCTTCATGTAGTAGCTATAAAACCAGTATAAACTCCAATCCCAAGTTATTATTTTGATATATAATGTTTTCTGCTCCAAAGCGCTATATATCAAAAAGAATAGTGGTTCACGAAACTGTATGTGCAGAAGTGCAAGCACATGCTGGGAAAATTGGCAAACGGAGGATTGAAATGAATATCTATTTTCTCCTCCTTAATCCCTGGATAGTATACCCCAAGTTTCCTCACTGATTCTGACAGCATCTGTGAGTTTTGTTTAAGTATTTGTTTAGATAAAAACTGTTCAGTTATGTTTTATTTTATGAATGTACTTAAATAAAAATTATCACGTAGTCTGGAAGGTAAAACAGTTAATGCTTACTGTTTACAGATAGTAGGTTTTAAATGCCACTGTCCTATTTCTGAATTGCAGTTGTCATCGGCAAGGAATCCATCATCACTGCTATCATCCTATGAAAGATAGCCTCCTGTTAATATTGAAAATATGCAATCTAAATAACTAATAACCTAACAAAATAGCATCATTGGGGACAAACATCTGTGTAACAAATATGTAAAAAAATTTTCTATTTAGGTGACCAGACACTTAATTCCAATTACCTAATGCTGTAAAAAAGTCTAGTGACATTTTAGTGGGGGGAAAAAAAACCCTAACAACCAGAGGTTTGTAAGAAACTGTTACACCTATTTACTCAATCTGAATAAATCTTAAAGACTGAATATATTATGACACATTCTTCTGCAAAATATTTCTACTCTGATTTTAGTTTATTTTTACAAAAATTTAGCTTGCTGGCTGAGACAGCTGTTTCACAATAGGACATATATAACCTATATTAATTATTATTTTACATGAATAATTTTTTCACATCAGAAATATTAATATTTAAAGGTATTTTGGAAACACTATTTTCTTTGAGACACCAGTATTTTCACTTCACTTGAGAGAAGACAGCTTAAGGACACTGTATCCTTATTCTATAGATTTTCTTGAATGTAAAATAAATAAGGCATTTTTTGAGACAGCTTCTGGCAACTTTATGAATGGAGTAATCAACAATAGGAATAATAGCAATAATAAAGCACAGTTAGATTAGCTAGTTCACAAAATAGGTAACTGCTATCACCAAAATAGCCAACGACTAAGTGCTCATTATAAACCATGAAGGTAATCCCTCTATATGTTAGAGAGAAAAAACTAAATAGCTTTTGTTCACATGAAGAGAATAATACGAAAAAAGGAAAAATTGTATGGTATAAAGCTATCTTCACTACTACACAAATGACTCAGTTTGTCCTAAAAACTAAAGAAAAGTCAGAGAATTAAAGGTATGGTATGTTATAAGATTCTTATAAACTTTTCTCTAGATATAAAGTCCAAATTAACTGAAGCTATAAAATATTTTCAAAAATATACTTTATTCTTGCTGTTTTTAATGTTTTTAGGGCAAATGAGAATATAAGGAAATATTAGAATTCACCTATGTTAATCTTAATCAAATATTATCTGCTTCTGCTATAATAGATATACATTAAATTGGACAAAAAAATCACTGGAAAAATGGAAAAAAATAGATAACTTTGTGATATAGCACATAACTGAAAATTTAAACACCTGCCTTTTGAATGTCAAGTCAAATTCAAAGTTATATATGGCCTCTAAATGTTTACGTGGCTAGGTTGGAGTGAGATAATTAATTTTATATTAAAGTTCAGTCCACACCACAGTGGCAACAATAGCAGCAGCAGCATTGACACATTTATCCTAGCAACTTCTGACTTGAAAACTGATTTTGTATTTTGACATGTCACCCAAATCCAGATGCTATAATGAGTTGCTGGATGAAGGGAAGTGCTTATAAAACTTTAAAGGAAAACTTATTTAGATAAAACATTAAAACTTTTTGCCAAGCATTAGGTTTTACCTGGTTATCCTGATCTTCTGAGAAGTCGATAAGTTCATCTTCAAGCATTTTACCACTTACAGCCGATTCTTCATCATAGTTTACTTTGATTTTGCTTAAGCCATCTGTATCAATAAGAAACATTATATAATAAAAATGTCCATGCCTAGAACTCACAGTATATGATGTTGAAATTAATGCTAGTATTTGATAAAGTAAAGTAGAAAATCTGCTTTAATATGTAATATCACAAATATAAAGTTACTCAAACTGAGACTGACATGTCAATTATAGAGCTGTTTCTACTACTCAGGCCCTAAAATTTATTAAAATTTAAAAACTAGGTAGTACGATTGGATATATGTATATTTAAATACATATATGTATGCATATGTGCAGATAAATATTTTTGTGCTAGGTATACTAGATATCTTTAACTAATAATGGAAGCTACAACAGTCTGAAAATAACCTAAATGTCAAATAACAGGAGTAGTTAGCAAATTATAGAACATAAAATAGAATATAATTGTAGAATTTCATAATTAATATTATGAAAATATGGAAAATTATTCTACAGGGTAAAAAATAAACATGATTAAAATTAACAGCCTTGCTTTTAGACAAATAATAAAAATCAATTATTTTGCTGAAAGAAACTAATCACATAAAATGTTTGAAAGAAACATAAGATTTACATGAAAATAGTGAAAAAAAGTCAAAGACTTTAATGCCAAATACATCAATATAGTTTACTACAAAGAATACCATTTCAAAATTTAAAAAAAAAGACTTTTAGGTATTTTACACAGGATAAAATCTATTTTGGTACACATTATTAAAAGGAGTTAAGATTTTAAATAAAAGTTAAATAAGATGGGATGGGAAGGAAGCAAAATAAAATGTATTCTTGAAAATATATAAATCTAAATGTGATCAGAAATATACTCTTAAAATAACTTACAAAGCACTAGGGTAAATCATTTCATGATATAAAAAATAACCTTGTCAATTTATCTTTTTCAAAAATCTGTATTTTATGTTTATTTAAAGCTAAAACACCTATATTTGAATACCATTTGCCTATATCCTCAGACAATTCAGTCAATTACAATCAGGTTATTTCTAGCAGCAAATCATTCCTGCCTACATAAACTGTGGTCATATCAGTATTTACCTTTTACAAACTAAACTATGAAAAATAAATTATGCAGGCAATTCCTTCCATTATTTCACTCAATAAACAAATGACTTTGAGTAAATTTAGAGGTGATAACTCAATCAGCTGTTCTCTCAATCAGTGTCAGTTCTGTTGAGCTTCTCATACACTAAGACCATTCGAAGATGCTGAGCATCATTCTCGAATTTAAACATACACATTTTCATGCATCATAGCAAGTCAACTTTTTAATAAGGTGCCAATTGAAGAAACAAGTGAAAGTAGTAATACCACACATTATTATTTTCGTATAGCTGACCTTATAAACCTAATCTCTAGGATAAGATACAATTCCCCTTACTACAGCACGTTATCTGATACCAGGAGTCAACACTTGTGACTGTATGTGTTTGACAGTTAAAATTATGCTAAAACTGTCTAAAACACATCATATAAATCCTGTCAACTATATCCCCAGACCAAATAGCACTCAATTACAGAGATATTAATCAGATCACAAAAATTTTTACAAGCTCTTCTTATCCTAACTTTTAATTGTATAGTACATATTGCTTAACCCATCCTCTCTGAGGTAGTAAAGATACACCTGGAGAGCAGTCTCATTTGAAAAACTTTTGGGTCAGTGATCTCTTAGAAATATCTGATGAAAGCCGATAGGACCTCCTTACTGAAAATGCAGTGACCCACTCTAGACCTACATTTTTCAAAGTGTGGGACACTATCAGTATTGGATTAAAGCTCAAGCATTAAAAAAACAAAACAAAACAAAAAAAAAACCAGAAAATATCAGAGTATCACGCAAACAATAATGATAAATCCCCATTTTGTGAAACATTTGATTCCGAGGCTTTGCCTTTAAAGGAAGATTTAGTTGGTATCATATACACATACTAAAACCAAAACAAAATAAATGTATAAACTATAATAAAAATGAATAAATGTGATAAACAGATATAAAGAAGGCAACTACATAAAACAGATTATTTTGGCTAAGCATGGTGGCTCATGCCTATAATCCCAGCACTTTGGGAAGCCAAGGCGGGAGGATCACTTTAGGCCAGGAATTCATGACCAGCCTGGTCAACATAGCAAGACCCCGTCTCTACAAAAAATACAAAATAAAAAAAAAAATTAGCTGGATGGGATAGTGTGTGCCTGTAGTCCCAGTTACTTAGGAGGCTGAAGCAGGAGGATTGCTTGAGCCAGGAGTTCAAGGATGCAGTGAGCTATGACTATGCCACTGCACAACAGCCAGGGAAACAGAGCAAGATCTTGTCTCTAAAAAAACAGATCAGTTTTTGCTTTAGTCTCCACTAGGATTTTTGAGGCTCTTTTTTTCAAATTTAACTGGCTATAACTTGACCAGAATATTAATTCATAGCAGAGGGCACTAGGAATCTCTGGAATTTATGTATATCATGTTCTACACTTTGGCCCACTGCTGTAAGTCAAGCACTTTAATTCATTTTTCATTATTTTATTTCTTATTTTAATTTATTTTTTCAGAGGCAGGGTCTCAGTACATCACTCAGGCTGGTCTAACTCCTGGCCTCAAGCAATGCTCCTGCCTTAAGCTCCAGAGTAGCTAGGATTACAAGCACAAGCAACTATGCCTGGCTTCATTTTTTATTTGAATTCACATTAAAATACATAAGATTATTGATCAAAGGGAGACTTTAATTTTTTAAAATTGCTCTACTGAAAGTTAATTCATAAACCATATAATTCATCCATTTAAAGTATACAGTCCACATTATTTCTTCTATGTCCTACACCAACTTTTTTCATCCAAAGAGAATATATTATATCTATTCATAGTTTCTTAAGTTTGGAAGGCACACGTTACAACATGTAGTGGAATTTTATGAAGTAGCCTATTTTACTAATGGGTTGAAGAGAAAAGTATACATTTGACTTGATATTAAATTTAAGAATTTGGACCTGGTGCCATGGCTCACGCCTGTGATCCTAGCACTCTGGGAGGCTGAGGCAGGTGGATCGCTCAAGGTCAGGAGTTCGAGTTCGAAACCAGCCTGAGCATGAGCAAGACCGTGTCTCTACTAAAAATAAAAAGAAATTAATTGCCCAACTAAAAATATATAAAAAAAATTAGCCGGGCATGTTGGCACGTGCTTGTAGTCCCAGCTACTCGGGAGGCTGAGGCAGTAGGATTGCTTGAGCCCAGGAGTTTGAGGTTGCTGTGAGCTAGGCTGACGCCATGGCACTCACTCTAGCCTGGGCAACAAAGTGAGAGACTGTCTCAAACAAACAAACAAACAAAAAAACAATTTAAGAACTTGAACAGAAACTTTATATTTCTTTAGCAGGTGCTAGAAATACGGAACTGACTCAAGGAAAAAACCAACTCATTAGAGCAGAAAGAAAATAAAAAGGCAGAGATTGAATCATTGCCCTTCTTCTCATAGAAGAAGAGTGAGGAATAAGAGGAACCAAGCTTTAACTGGAATGTTAACAACTACTTTGGAGGAGAAAGCTTTAATTTCTGCCTTGGGCCATTTGATCTCAATTTAGCAATCTGTAAATTGAAAAGACTGCACTAATTTGCCTTATAAATCTAAGACTACGCAACTGTTTATGATGAATAAATTTCCTATGAAATAAAAATAAATTCAAGTTTCTACAAATGGAAAATGTAAACTTGGGGACACGAGATTTTTTTGAAGTGATGAAAAGGTTCTAAAGTTTGGTTGTGGCAGTGATTACATGACATTTCTTAAAGTTCATTGAGCTATACTCATAAAATGAGTGAATATCATTTTAAGTAAACTATACCTCAATAAACCCAATTTAAAAAAAAAAAACTTTAAAAATTTCAATTTATTCTAAATTCTTTCAAAACATTTAGGGGCTGGGCATGGTGGCTCATGCCTGTAATCCTAGAATGCTGGGAAGCTGAGGCAGGAGGATCCCTTGAAGTCAGGAGTTCCTAGCTCTCTGGGATGCCTAGGTGGGAGGATACCTAAAGGTCAGGAGTTCAAAATCAGCCTAAGGCAAGAGTGACACCCCCATCTCTACTAAAAATAGAAAGAAATTAATTGGCCAACTAAAAATATATAGAAAAAATTAGGTGGGCATGGTGGCGCATGCTTGTAGTCCCAGCTACTCGGGAGGCTAAGGCAGCAGGATTGATTGAACCTAGGAGTCTGAGGTTGCTTTGAGCTAGGCTGATGCCACAGCACTCTAGCCCGGGCAACAGAGTGACACTCTGTCTCAAAAAAAAACAAAACAAGGCCGGGCGCAGTGGCTCATGCCTGTAATCCTAGCTCTCTGGGAGGCCGAGGCGGGTGGATCGTTTGAGCTCAGGAGTTCAAAACCAGCCTGAGCAAGAGTGAGACCCGGTCTCTACTATAAATAGAAAGAAATTAATTGCCAACTAATATATATAGAAGAAAATCAGCCGGGCATGGTGGCACATGCCTGTAGTCCCAGCTACTCGGGAGGCTGAGGCAGCAGGATTGCTTGGGCCCAGGAATTGGCGGTTGCTGTGAGCGAGGCTGACGCCACAGCACTCACTCTAACCTGGGCAACAAAGTGAGAGTCTGTCTCAAAAAAAAAAGACAAACAAACCTAGCCTGAGTAAGACTCCAGCTCTACAAAAAGAAAAAAACAAAACAAAACAAAACAGAAAAATCAGCGATGTGTGGTGGCACATGCCTGTAGCCCCAGCTACTCAGGATGGTAAGGCAGGAGAAGTTTAACATTGCAGTGAGCTACAATGACACCACTGCCACTGCACACTAGCCAGGGCGACAGAACCAGACTGTCTCAAAACAAACAAACAAACAACAAATTTAGATACATACCTGTATGGGGCATAGAACTTAAACATTCATTCTGTAGGCCATTCTCACTTTTAGTCCTATCAGCACCTTTTGGGCATGCAGATTCTCCTTTATCGGATTCTTCATTTTCACTTGCAGTATAATTTATTTTTTTCACATTACACTTCACACTGCATATATTTCTCCGATAACGAGAGTCACTTTCTTCCTGTCCAGCATTTGAATCACTTACAGCTATGCAATGCTTTTTGTTTAGCATCTTCTTAATTACAGGCTTGGCAGAAGAGTTTTGTGAACTGTCGATTTCACTGGCTGAAGGAGAAGAAATACAACTGTCCTCTACAGTTGAACATTTTTGTATGTCTGCATTTTCATGGTAATGAGGATTAGGTTCATACTTTGGTTTTTCCAAACCAGGGAAACAAACAACAGCCAAAAACCAGTGTGCACTGTAAAAAACAAATGAAACTACTAAATATATTATTAGAAAATTTATTATATTTGGTAATACATATCAATTGAAATAGTTTTTCTAAAATTTTTGATAACATATTTATTAAGAATGCCCAATTTTTCAATTCTCATGTTAATCAGCTTGTTTATATATAATTACTGATTCATTAACAAAATACAGTGTCTATTAAAAATAATATGATTTTTGTTTGAATTATGTAGCCTGCATTCACTTTTGCAAACAATCCTTTTAACCTTTTCTTGTTTTTGAAATGAAAAATTCATTGCTTTTTCTGGCAATTATGTCACTTTACAATTCATTGTTCCCATTTGCCTTTCCTTTGCCATCTTTATGCAAAAGGATAGAAATCTATCTAGCTGCAAGATTAAAATGTCTTCAGAAGTCTAATTAAAGTGTGTAATTTTCAACACTTTGTAAGTATGGTATATATAGTTTTCTTTTACTGTATTTTGGTTATTATTAATAAAGTGAAGGGGCTTACTATTGAAAATATGTATATAAGTAATCTTTTCTTTCATGCTATATTGAAATATAAATACATTAAAATGAAATAACATATCTAGTCATTGTTATAAAAATTCAAGTATTAGTAAAGAGTTCCAGCTCTGACTCAAGTGGGTGCTCCTGATATAGCTGAATTTAGATATCTCAGTTCCCAACAGTGGATTATATGCCACCAGTAAGAAGCTGTACAGTCTTGGCTAATATTTGTTAAACTAACAAATATTTTTAAGGGCCAACTATTTGCTATGTGCTGGGATACAATGAACAGGCTATAGGTGTCAGACAGCTTATTAGTCAAGCACAGTAGTATTTGTCATATGGTAGGGTGTTCAATACTTATTTACTGAATGAAAAACTAAATATCTTGGCATGGATAAAAGTTACTCCACATTCTCATTTCTGCAAAATGTTAGAGTACTCGAAGGTAGTACTAAGAAAGAGTACTATCGGCCGGGCGCTGTGGCTCACGCCTGTAATCCTAGCTCTTGGGAGGCCGAGGTGGGCGGATTGCTCAAGGTCAGGAGTTCAAAACCAGCCTGAGCAAGAGCGAGACCCCGTCTCTACTATAAATAGAAAGAAATTAATTGGCCAACTGATATATATATAAAAAAAAATTAGCTGGGCATGGTGGCGCATGCCTGTAGTCCCAGCTACCCGGGAGGCTGAGGCAGAAGGATCACTCGAGCCCAGGAGTTTGAGGTTGCTGTGAGCTAGGCTGACGCCACGGCACTCACTCTAGCCTGGGCAACAAAGCGAGACTCTGTCTCAAAAAAAAAAAAAAAAAAAAGAGTACTATCTATTACTTCATCGGACAGCATTTAGTAGAAAGGTCATAAAGCTTGGCTTCATCCTTAGTAAAGTCCAGCTGAATGAATGCTTCTCTCTAGTTCCTGATTATTAATCTTCAGTATCCTATGGATTAGGTCAGTTTGGAGTAAAAGAAAGAGCATGCCAACTTCCTCATTTCATCAACTCTAAGACACAGCTGAAAGTAAGCCACATCTCAATTTTAGAAATGTTAAGATGAAAAAATGTGCTTTAAAAACTGATGAAATATGGTATAACACGGTGATTCTCAAGCTACACCTGTAACCTATCACAGTTCTTAACATTTCGTAGCTATGCCAGTATGGATAAGCTACAAATTTTCTGCCTCACCTAAAATCTATGAGAAATCCTTTTGTTTTTGGGTTTGGCTGAAAGAGAAAGCTGAATCAGATAATCACTTTTAACCTCTAAAAGCCACAGTTTTGCTTTTATAATCCCTTTTAACAGCAGCTAACTTTAAATCATCAGTGGAAAAGAGGCGAAAACAGGCAATTTCCCTTATCTTAAGATGGATTCAATAGAAATATCAAATTTGTGCTCCTTGGCAATTACTGTGACTTTTTTTTTCCTTTAAGCTCTGTTGGACTTGATACTGTGACAATTTTAAAACAAATAGCTTAGAAACTTAAGCTTTAAAACATGAGCATCACCAGAAAAGTTAAAAACAGATAACAAACATATGGTAGCCTATCTAATATAATTAGTGTATATAAATATTTGTGACTTCACCTCTTCAAAACACAACAACAGCAGCAACGACAATAACAAAACACAAACCAAGTCTTCTTGATATGCAGGCTATTTTTTTCAGCTACAAATGGTACAACCTTCTTACACAATCTTTTACTGGCCCTACATTTTTGGTCATTCTCTAACTCTCATCACGATGACTATAAGCTCTGATAGTAACTCCCATCCACAGATACAGTGACTAAGAGGGATGTGCCTCTATCTCTAAATTGTGTGTACCTCAATTATATTTCCATTTTAAACTTTTATAATTTATTTCCAACAAATGGCTTTCCTCTTTTTCACTCAGTAGGCAGCTGACATATTATTTTATATGATAAATTACTCTCGAGAAACCTTTTTGTAGGCCAGGCACGATGGCTCACACCTGTAATCCTAGCACTTTGGGATACTGAGATGGGAGGACCCCTTGCGGCCAGGAGTATAAGACCAGCCTGAGCAACATAGCAAGATCCTGCCTCTACAAAAAAAGGAAAAATCAGCTGGGCATGGTGGTGTGCCCCTGTAGTCTCAGCTACTTGGGAGGCTGAGGCAAGAGGATTGCTTAAGCCCAGAAGTTTGAGGTTGCAGTGCGCTATGATGATGCCACTGCACTCTAGCCTAGATAGCAGAGTGAGACCCTATCTCAAAAAAAAAAGAAAAAGAAAAAAATATATATTTTTTGAGAATGAAGAAACTAAGGATTAAAGTTGGTTTTAAATTTTACTATGATACTATGATTTAAAAAATATATAGCTTTGAAGAAGTTGTGCTTTATAGCTATAACCAATGTTCTGACCTAGCCTATCTTTGATTAGGCTAATTAGAGAACAGAAGTTTCATGATTAAAATATGATTTTAAACAAACAGAGTTTGACTATTCTATAGAGCAAATTGTTTTTTGCATTCTAGCCTGGGCAATGGAGCAAGACCCTGTCATTCATTCATAAATAAATAAACACATATTCAAATTCTTCTATGTAACCTAATCATCTTTTTATATAATCTTTTCTATAAGATATTTGCTAGATCATAAGCACCACTGGTTTTTTTTTAATGACATTTAACATTGACCAATAAAATGAAATTAGAAAGGTATCTATTAATAGTTTAGTATTTGCAAACTTCAACATCTTACATGATTCACTGGGGAGCTGCATTAATTTTCATATAATTGGCAGTACAAATATGAATATACAGAACAAAGTTCAGAAAGTTTTAAAATGGATGAATTCTTTACCTCATAAGTACATTTAAAAAAACTGCCATCACATTTACATAAAGGAAATTCTTACTCACGCTTCATTAAGGGGTACAAAAATAAAATCCTTCTCAAAAATATCTACATGCCGGGTCCATGTTTTTACTCTTCCATGTCGTTTTTGCTGTATGCTGTAAGAGAGAGACAAACTATAAGCTTCTGAAATATCTCCAGTGCTTCAGCTTATATGCAGTGATGTATAATTTATGAAGATTCAGATGTAACAGCTGTAACAGTTGTATAAAATGGTTTGACAAGTTGAAGAAAGAAAACAGAGCATCTTAGGTAGGAACTAGGAAGGCATGGGACTTTCCATCATTGAAGGTGGAGGAAAGAGATATTTAACTCTGGCTACTACATCTGAAGGGTTTCAGTGCTTATCTTGCCTAGACTTCTCTACTATTTTTATTACTGCAGAATTGGTACTACCAACTATATTGAGAGGTATATCACAGCATGACTTATGGTAACTGGGGAGAAGATAGTAGGAAAAGTAAGCATTATCTGATGGTAAATGGAATGGTAAAGACTATGAGTACTGGTCATAATGATTACCATCAACCTAAGATGCAAAATTAGGAATTGCTGAAGTAGAAGAAAATATTATTCATATAATGCACACCAGCCATCGATTCAAGACATTTAACAGTAGTTATAAAAAAATGTACCAACTCTTTTTTTTTTTTTTTTTTGAGACAGAGTCTCGCTTTGTTGCCCAGGCTAGAGTGAGTGCCATGGCATCAGCCTAGCTCATAGCAACCTCAAACTCCTGGCTCTAGCAATCCTCCTGCCTCAGCCTCCCGAGTAGCTGGGACTACAGGCATTCGCCACCATGCCCGGCTAATTTTTTGTATATATATTAGTTGGCCAATTAATTTCTTTCTATTTTATAGTAGAGACGGGGTCTCGCTCTTGCTCAGGCTGGTTTCGAACTCCTGACCTCGAGCAATCCGCCCGCCTCGGCCTCCCAGAGAGCTAGGATTACAGGCGTGAGCCACCGCGCCCAGCCTGTACCAACTCTTAAGTGTTATCTTTTGACTAATTACCAGCAAGTATCAGAACTAGATTCCATCACTTAAATGGAAGGGAATTATAAACAAAATAACTCAGGAGTAATATATAGAATAATATTTCCCTAATTTGTCTGAGAAGAATCTACCAAAGAGCTTATTAAAAGTACAGATTCATGGGTTCCTGTCTGAGACATTAAGGATGGAACACCTAGGGTAAAACAGAGCAATCTGTATTTACTGAGTAAGTAATTTTTTGAAAAACCTATCAGTCATATTTGGTAAAGACTGATCTAGATATTTGGCCTAAAACATTTATGAATTCCAGATATTCTGAAAGTATTAGATTATGAATTATATTAATTTTACAAACTGATAATAGAACTAAATGATGTCTCAATATAAATAAGTGATTTTTTTAAAAAAAAATTATACTCCCAAACCAGCACAATGTTATTTTAAGGTAGTAGAACATGAATCTGTGAAGAATGAAAATGAACCTGACTGATTTGGTATGTTCCCTTCCTGGCTGCAGAATTTTTTTAAAAAGTAAGTAAATTGCAAATATCTGTGATTTTTTTCAAATATGTGATTTTTTTACTAAGTTAAATTTGAGTGACATACTATATCTGTGAAAATATTTTCAGAGTTTGACTTACGACAGATTAGTTGTTTCATGATTTCTCCTTTCTCTCTGATTAAGGCGTTTATAGAAGAAAGAACTAAATATATGAATTCGGTCAGCTTCTTCTTTCTTCAGTTTTTCAAGCACCAAATATCTATTTTACACAAAAATAATTCAAATATAATGTAACTATTCATTTTACATTAAAAAGTCAATCAATTATCAAATCTATTTAGCCACTACCATCAATCGCTATTCCTTAGAACTGAAAGATGTTATCAGCAAAGTTTACTTCATATTCTAGGCAATGATAACCACTAGATTACCTTCAGGCAATATAAAGTGATATTTGAGAGTAAAATTATAATTTGAAATGTTTTAAAACAAGGGCACATCTAAATCAAGAGTGAAGGAAGCAAATGTCCACACACAAATTTATACGTAAACTTTCATGGCAGCCTTATTCATAATAGCCAAAAAACATAAACAACAAAAATGTCCATCAACTGATGAATGGAAAAATAAAATGTGTTATATCCATAATGTACTATTCAGCAGTAAAAACAAATGAAGAGCTAATACTTATGATAACACAGAAGAACTTTGAAAACATTACACTAGGTGAAAGAAACTATTCACAAAGGACCACATGTTATATGACTCCATCTACATAAATTATCCAGAATATGCAAATCCATACAGATAGAGATGGAGACTGCTGGTTGCCCAGGGCTGGAGTAAGGTTGAAGGGTAATGGGGAGTGATTGCTAATAGGTATTAGGTTTCTTTTTGAGGTAATGAAAATGTTCTAATATTGATTGATTCAACTTCTGAATATACTAAAAACCACTGAATTGTATACTTTAAATGGGTGAACTGTATGGTACATGGATTATATCTCAATAAAGAGATATGTATTATTTATTTCATTTTAAACAGTTCAGTTAATAAACCATGAAGACCTAGCCATATACTACTTTTTATGAAAATAGAAACAAAATAGAAACACATACAGTGGTTAGGTTGTAACAATGACTCATTAAAGTGATCTTACATTGGTTCTAATTTTTCTCTGTTTTATTTTTTCTATAGATCTATATCAAAACAAATAGCAATGGCCCTTATATCACATCACAAAAGGAAATTATGATACATGAAATTTAATTGTTTTATGTTACAAACTTTCTCATAGGAGCTAAGCAAATTCAAACTTATAACCATATTCATCTTATCAAAGTGAAGATGTATGAAAGACTGTGAAAATCTTAGACAGAAACAGCAAATGCTTAAGAGATTTGTCCTCCCAGAGTGCACATTCTTGAGTGAGACCTGTTACTTTTATCGTTAACATTTGATAGTTCCAAAGCTCAAGTTCTAATGAAAAGGACATAACTTAAAAGATTCCTTGCTTTTAGGCAACTCAGTGTGCCCCTACACACTGAAATATTATAAGACAGCAAATCAGTTCAACTCTAGTTTAAATAAACTGCTGAATTCTATAATAATATCCTCAAAATAGAATGTGTAGTGAATTAGCTATGAGTCCAGGGACTACCATATGGATAAACCATGCTACCTTTGCTGGCCTAAACTACAATGGTTACTTTGTACAACTGAACCGAATAAACAAAGGGATAATTTGATTTAAAAAAGGAAAAATATCTTTAAGAAAACTATTTTATTATGTAAACAAATTTATGCCTTTTAAAGTAACTAGTTTTGTCTTTCTGATATACAACCATAACAATTTCTGTGATTACAGGTCTGAATTTTTTAAATGCATATGTGTTACAACTATTAATTTTAATAAGAACAATTTTAACTCTTATTTTATTTATTTATTTATTTTTTTGAGACAGAGTCTCACTCTCTTGCCTGGGCTAGAGTGCTGTGGCATCAGCCTAGCTCACAGCAACCTCCAACTCCGGGGCTCAAGCAATCCTTCTGCCTCAGCCTCCCAAGTAGCTGGGACTACAGGCATGCACCACCATGCCCGGCTAATTTTTTTTATATATTTTTAGTCAGCCAATTAATTTCTTTCTATTTTTTAGTAGAGATGGGGTCTCGCTCTTGCTCAGGCTGGTTTCAAACTCCTGACCTTGAGTGATCCGCCAACCTCGGTCTCTAGAGTGCTAGGATTACAGGCGTGAGCCACTGTGCCTGGCCCTTAACTCTTATTTTAGAATTAAAGGGAAAATCCAAGTTTATTACAAAAATTTATGGGAATTTCTTCCATTTGGTTACATTAATTTCTATTAGAGCATAAACAACTTAAACATTGAATGTTGTGGTGAAGCTATTCACTTGCTATTTCATAAAGTGGAAAACCTAATAACACCACCATGACTTCTGTAATTATAAGACAAAGTTAAAAAATGATTTTAAGGTTAATCTGCAACTTTATGAAAGTGATTTTTTTTTTTTTTTTTTTTCACTTTGTTGCCTAGGCTAGAGTGAGTGCCGTGGCGTCAGCCTAGCTCACAGCAACCTCAAACTCCTGGGCTCAAGCAATCCTGCTGCCTCAGCCTCCCAAGTAGCTGGGACTACAGGCATTCGCCACCATGCCCGGCTAATTTTTTGTATATATATTAGTTGGCCAATTAATTTCTTTCTATTTATAGTAGAGACGGGTCTCGCTCTTGCTCAGGCTGGTTTCGAACTCCTGACCTCGAGCAATCCGCCCGCCTCGGCCTCCCAGAGAGCTAGGATTACAGGCGTGAGCCACGGAGCCCGGCCATGAAAGTGATTTTGAAAATAATTTTTTAAAATAATCCTTTTCTTCACTGCATTAACATTCTCCGGATGCAATGCCCTTCTACTTCTTGCAATGTTGGTAAACTCTGTTTAAAAGTTTGTTTATAATCATTATAGTAAGATTTAGAAATGGAGAAGAATGAGCCTGGTAGTAGGAGTTACTCATTTTATTAGTGAATGTTAAAAAAGTTTCCTCCCATGAACAAGGTGTTAGTTAAGAAAAAAAGGTTCCTCTTTTTAAATCACATATGATTTTTAAAAATCATGAATTTTGTTAGGCTTCATTTATTATTTCGTATGTAGATTTGCACCAGAGAAGGCAGACCTTGAAGGTAAATTTAAGTTTATTATGTAAAATTTGTTTTAAGATGTAACTGTAAAATATGAAGCAGCCTCCTGAAAACATTAATAGTCAGGATCATAAACAAGTAAACATAAAATCTCTATTATAATCTCTACTATAATATAAAAAGTATAGATTATTTGAAAATAAAATAGACTAAACTACAATGTAAAATATACAGGACTTCAACTCATTTTTTAGATTCAGCTAAATGCTTTCAAAAACAAAAAAATCATTTTAAATATAAATACTTAAATAGGTTAAAGTAAAGGGGTAAAAGAAATATATACCATGCAAATGCAAATCAAAAGAAAGCTGAAGTAGCTATATTCATTTTGATCAAAACAGACTTAAGGACAAGGAAGACTATCAAGGATTTAAGGGGAGACATTACATAATGATAAAGAGGTCAATTCTCCAAGACATGAATATGTGCCTATTAAGAGTTTCAAAATAAATGTGGCAAAAACTGATATAGGTTTGAAAGGAGAAACAGAAAAATTCATAATTATAGTTGGAGATTTCAATGACCCTTTCTCTAGTTGATAGAGCAAGTAGGCAGAAAACCAGTAAGGACAAAGATGACCTGAAAAGCACTATCAACCAACATGACCTAACTGACATGCATAGACCACTCTATCCAACACCATATGTTCACTTCTGGCTTTTCAGTAGCTTGGTTTGTTAAAGTAGTATATATTCGGACTGAGAGAGAACTTTTTCTATTTAAGCTGTGATAAAACATAAAATTAACCATCTTAACTATTTTTGAGTGTACAGTAGTATATTGAAGTATACTCCCATTGTTACAAACAGATCTCCAGAATTTTCTCATGTTGCAAAACTGAAAATTTATATCCAATAAATAGCAACTCTTTTTCTCTCCCCACCCCCCACCCAGTCTCTGGTAACCACCAATTCTATTTTCTGTTTCTATGAATTTGACTACTTTAGAGCCCTCATATAAGTGGAATCATATAGTACTTATCATTTTGTGAGTAATTTCACTTGGCACAATACCTTCAAGGTTCATCCACGCTGTAGCATCTTTTTTAAGGATGAATAATATTCCATTGTATGTATATACCACATTTTGCTTGTCCATTCATCAATGGACAGTTCAGTTATTATTTCTACCTCTCCACTGTGATTAATGCTGCTATAAATATGGGTATGCAAATACCTCTTCAAGACTTTACTTTCAATTCTTTGGACATATTGTTATGAATCACTTAATGACAGGGAAATGTTATGACAAAGGTGTTAGGCGTAGTTGTGCAAACATCATAGAGTGTACTTATACAAACCTAGATGATATAGCTTACACAAACCTGTACAGCATGTTACTGTACTAAATATTGTAAGCAACTATACCGCAATGGTTAGTATCTGTGTATTTAAACATAGAAAAAGTATAGTAAAAATACGGCATTATAATCTTACGGGATTGCAGTCGCATATGTGGTCCATCATTGACCAAGATGTCATTATGGTGCATGACTATATACTCACAAGTGGGATTGCTAGATCATGTAGTAGTTCTATTTTTAACTTTTTGAGGAACCTACATATTGCTTTCCATAGCAGCTGTACCATTTTACAATCCTATCAACAATGTACAAGGTTTCCAATTTCTCCATATCCTCACTAACACTTCTTTTCTTTTTTTTTTTTTTAATAATAGCCATCCCAGTGGATATGAGTTGATATCGCATTGTGGATTTTGCTTGCATTTTTCTGATGATTAGCAACCTCAAGCTTCTTGGGCATTTATGTGAGGTGACTTAAAAAAAAAAAAAAGAGACAAAGTCTCACTTTACCACTCAGGCTGAGTACAGTAGCACAATCACAGCTTGCTGTAGTCTCGAACTCCTGGGCTCAAGCAAACCTCCTGCTTCAGCTTCCCCAAAAGTGCTGGGATTACAGGCATGAGCCACTGTGCCCAGCCAGATAACATCTTCTGACTCAGCTATGAAGAACTCTGTTTAAATGTATTCCTGAATGCAAGCGTTAGATTTTAAAGGGGTCTTGCAAAGTTAGGCACTTAAAATCTAGGGCAGTTTCTCTTATCACAAAGTATATGACACATTTCATCTCACTGAAACATATTCATTCCATCACTAAAAGGAAAAATGGTGCCCTTGAAAAGGGGATATAGTTAACCTAAATAGAACATATTATACTCATGTTGAGTAGATCCTGTTGGTTAATAGTGTTGAGTTCTTCCATATCCTTGTTGATTTTCTTTCTAGTTGTTCTATCAACTGTTTAAAGAGGGTACTGACATATCCAGTTGAATTACATGTTTCTCCTTTCATGTCTACCACTTTTTGCTTCACACATTTCATACCTCCATTGTTCAGTACATATATATTTAGGATTGCTACATTTTCTTGGTAGATAACTCCTTTATCAGAAGTTTATCAGATATTAATTATCCTTGCCTTCTTTTGACTAATGCTTGTATGGTCTATCTTTTTACAATCTTTTCCTTTTAAACGATGTGAGTTTCCTGTTAAGATATTCATGTCTACATTCATTGAATTGCAGACAGTTCATTGATCCTTTCCTCTGTCTTCTCCATTCTGCTAGTGAGCCCATCCACTGAAGTCATTTCAGTTTTTGTATTTTTAGTTCTAAAATTTCCATTTGCTTTTTCTTTATACTGCTTGATATTTTCATTTGTTTCACACCTGGTCATTATGTTCATCAAATAATTTTTATGATGGATGCTTTAAAATCTTTGTAAAATAATTCTCAGTGTCGAGATCTACTGATTTTCTTTTTCTCATTTAGTTTGAGATCTTCCTGATTCTTGGTGACACAAATGATTTTCAGTTGAAATCTGGACAGTTTGAGAATTATAAGACTCTGGATCTTATTTATTGCTGGCAACTATGTAGAACTATATGGGTCTTATTTAATTCTTGTGTCTTAGCAGGCTTCCTCTGACACTACACTCCAGTGGGTAAAGATGGATGCCGCCAAGCAAGCTTGGAAGTACATGTTCTCTCCTAGATCTTCATTGATATTGGAGGGCTCTTTGCCCTTGATGGGTAAAGCCTATTGTGGTGGAGCCTCCCCAGCAGGCTTCCACTGATACATCTCCATTGGAGCAGAGGGGTAACTTGTTGCCCTAGAAACAGTGTAGGCTCTACACTTGATTTTAATTACCTTAGGGTCATTGTGACCTCAAAATTATTCTTAGCCCTTATATGCCCTGACCTCTGCTATATTGTTTCCATTGAGTATATCCTCCTTTAAAGCTTTCACCTCCTTTGATTTCACGACACCACTCTCTGGATTTCTCCTTACCCCTCAAACACCTTCAGAAATTATTCATGAGAGCCTTTTTATTCTCTGTCTCTTAAAAGTATTTTCCAGGGTCTGTCCTTGTATTACTTTTTCTCATTCTATATCCCTACCCAAGCAATTTCTCATAATTAAATAAAAACCTACAAAGCAAAGCTTCCTAAATCTATGTATCTCCAGGCCAGAAGTCAACTGACCTCTAGAACCATATTTCAACTGCTTGTTGGCACTATCCCTTTTGCTGTATCACAGATATCTAAAAGGGAACTCATCACTTCCCCACTCAAGCCTGCTCTGCTTCTGTACTCAACATCACTTAGCAGGTCTTACAAGCCAGAAAACCAGGAGTTATCAGGCACCCATTTCTCACCTTCCTAATACCCATTTAATCAGTACTGGAATCCTGCTAATTCTATATCCTAAACAACTCTATCTCATAAAACATCTCATGATTTCCTCTTCCACTTCAACTAAAATGCCTTAATTAAGCTTCTTAAATCACATTAATTCTCTTAATTTCTCATTTATGCTTCTACAATCCACATGTCTATCAAAATGGTCTTAAGGAAATTCAATTATGATATTACTTCTCTGACCAAAACTTCACTCTCTATAACAATGTGGGTTTTTTCCACCAAATTGTGAGCTGCAACCATTAGGAGGAGGTTACAAAATCTATTCAGATTTCAACACTAGTTCTTTAAAAATTTGTTTTTTCAATGAAATACATTAAAAGAAACTAGAAAATATTAGAGAGTACTGGCCATACTGGTGCTAAGTTCTGTTTTGTTTCATATATATGCCCATTTTATACCACAAACTAGTAAACACATACAAATTTCATATGTGTGAACACACTGCACACAGGTACATATGTATGTGTATAGTGGGTCATCACATAAGCTCTCCTACAAAAGCTTCCTGGTCCTTCCTATCTTCTAACTCCCAAAGAGAATGAAGCATTCACTCATCTGTTGTGTCTATACCATGTTAATGCTTCTATCATTGCTTTAATCCCATTTATGTTTCCTGTAAGACCACAAACTTCTAATATAGTACCTGGCACACAGCTGGTACTTCATGAACATATACTGAAGGAAATGAGTGAATTCATACTTTTGTACTTGCTCAACATTTACCAACCCTATTTGCTAGGGCCTGGCATGTATTATCTCATTTAATTCTTACAACTCTTTCAGATATTGTTCTCATTTTTATTGTTTTAAATTTATTTTAAAATATTCTTTATTTTTAAATTTTTTTTCTTTTTTCCTATAAGGAAGTGAAAGTGGAGTATTTTCTCATTTTTAAAACATGGAAACACATTAAATCACTTCCCAAATGCCACACAGGAAGTGGCAGTGATAAAATTCAAAACCCAAACAATCTGACTCTAGAAAACAAAGATAAACAATATGATAGAATGTTAAACATTTGCTAAGAGGTTAGTAGAAAATTAACTTACTTCAAATAAAAGTCTATAATAACATCATTTAAAAATTCGCCTTCATTTAGACAGTGCAGATCCTCATTAGTAACAGAGATGCCACCCTTAGCTGGAGGTGGTGGATATACTATCAACCTATACAAAAAAAAAAAGAAATAAGCAAATAAATCTCTCTATATAGATATATACCACTAAAATGTAATAAAACAGTTAAAGAAATTTAAGAGCATTGCATATGTAAAGGAAGTTTCTCACTTTTCTACTGGGCCAATGAAGACAGTGTGGCTCTCCCCAGTTTCTTCTTCATCATCAAAAAACTGGAATTCCTGTTTGTTTCTAAGTTGTATTTTAGATTCAAAAGATACCTAGTAAAAGAAATTAAATCGGAAATTCACAAAGTCAATTGGGAAAATTTTCAATAAAAAGAATAAGTGCAGGCAAGAATGGTTTTCGATTAAAAATATAAATCTAAAAAGTATGCATGATATTTAACAATAAATATAAGAAACAGACAAAACAGCCACTCTAGACAGTGATACTCTCCCAGCTTATATAATAATGGTTTTCCAGTTACTTATTTCTTTAAGATCTCAACTAACCATATTAAATTAGCTTATGTGAAAGATGGCCTTACTAATAACCTATCTAACAGAGGAAAAATAACCTATCTAACAGAAAGTAACCGAAACAAACGCACAGTACAACTGCCCCCTTTGTTTTGTATAATTAAAACACCTGTGGTCTAACTAGTTATCTCTAAGACTTCGTTTTTCTCAGCCTCGAAGAGCCTGAAGCAGATAGTGGGGTGTGACCTATCTGCTCCACCTCTCTGCCTCAGTTCTTGCCCCCAAAACCAAATTTCAAGGACTCAGATAACCCAGCCTCACAGAGAAAATAAAAAATAAAGAACTCCCTGACATTTCACCACTCCTTCTGTTATCCCCCTCCCTAAAGCAGGTGGGGGGAAAAAGCCATTTTTACCCTTTAAAAGCACCAAGCAACTTTCTTCAGCCGCCTGGCATTTTCACTCCTTTCTCTGTGTGCCTTGGCCACTCCCTCCTTCTCTCTCTCTCACTCTTTCTCGGGAAAATACATAAACTTTGTACTTTTTCTACCCTAAATTCTGTGTGAGAATTCTTTCTCAAACTCGCCATGAGCACCTAGTAAGTTTCTACCCTAACATTATGCTAACAAAATTCAAAAAACCTTTCAAAAAACCAATGTGGTTTTTTTCTCCTAGCAGAAGAGGCCTACTTATGTTCAGTGGCTAGGCAATTAAGTGGAAGGAGAGGCCCAGGGAACACAGCCTAGTAAGCTTTGGCCCTCTACAAGACTAAATAAAACAGGCAGTCCTTAGAGGGAAGAGCCTTCCATCAAAATCTGAGTTCAATCCTAGTTGCCTTATGACTTCAGTTGCTCTTTTCTTCCTCTGGCATTATCTCTTGTAGACAACTCTGCAAAAGAGGGGAACGATTCCACTTCTTCCTTTTGCTTTCTTGCCAACCTACTAACTGTGTGAACAGTTCTTCTCTGGTAAGGGCTTGCTCAACTATTACCATATGTCCATATTTCCAAATTTGTAACCAGGCTGAGAGATTTAGACCCAATAAATTACGCCAGAAAAATTCAGGTGCCATGGTAGGAGATAAATATGGAATTTTAAAGTTATATTTGTATTGTTATTTGATATTATACTATGCATTACGGTAGTACTGTGGCCTTTGGTTCAGGTAGCTTCAGAGTTTCTTAACTGCATGAGTAACAAGTAGTTACTCTAGAACTGGATACATATTTTGACAATCAAGGTCAAACAGTTATATATTTTTCATTTCCCAAGTTTTGAACCATGTATGCCTATGTTACATATATATGTACAATACATCAAGAACCAAAATTCCTCCAAACCCAAGACAAAGAATAACAATCAATTTGAATGTAGCAATGCAAGTATATGTATGTTGGGAACAGGGTTCGAAGAAAAAAGGAGAGGAAAAAAGATGAAAAGTAAAGATAAGACTAGAATGTGGAGAACCAAAAATATTTCTGAGACCTGTATCAAGTACTAATTTACACCTACCCACCATTGTTGTGACCCAAGATAGTTTACACATCACATATAAAAGCAAATAATTATGAAATGGAATTTAAAGATTTAACACTGAAATGAGCAGTATTGTAATACAACATACTTCCTGTTAAAACTACCCATTATTAAAAAATTATTTAAAAACATTTAAAAATATAATTACAGTTTTAATTTTGTTTTCTTTTTGCACACAACTTCCTTTGATGCTCTCTTCATAGGTTCTTGTACAGGCAACAAGTCTGCTATTGGCTTCTTCAAAGGGGATTTTTGCAAAAAAATTGGAAACGTTATTCTTTATACCAATCTCAGTAATGATATTTTCAAATATCATATTTCTCTGAGGATCAAGGCCATTTTGAAAAATTAAAATTATATATCGTTCTTCCAAACCTGAAAAGAAACAAATATTACTATAAGTCTAAAAGAACAAAATAAGTAAACAGATAACTTAAAAAAAGAGTAACAACTAATTATTTCCAGGAACCCTAGCATTATATCCACAACAATGTTTGGCACAGAGTGGATACACAATAAATGCCACAATAAAGACCAGCGAATATTACCTGGCAATGTCACCTAAGTTATTAAGAGAAGGGAACCAGGATACATTACTCTAGCAATAGCTCAAGAACAAATCTATTCATGATTGTAATAATTTACTTCACCCCTCTGGGAGGCCGTGGTGGGCGGATTGCTCGAGGTCAGGAGCTCAAAACCAGCCTGAGCAAAAGCAAGACCTGGTCTCTACTATAAATAGAAAGAAATTAATTGGCCAACTAATGTATATAGAAAAAAATTAGCCGGGCATGGTGGCGTATGCCTATAGTCCCAGATACTCGGGAGGCTGAGGCAGCAGGATTGCTTGAGCCCAGGAGTTTGAGGTTGCTGTGAGCTAGGCTGATGCCACGGCACTCACTCTAGCCTGGGCAACAAAGTGAGACTCTGTCTCACGAAAAAAAAAAAATAATTTACTTCACCTAATAAATTCTAAATCTCTTCACAGTCATAAAACATATCGGTTAACATTTTTGTCAAACACAAATAGGAAACTGTCAAGTGAACTGGAAGTATCTCTAGAAAATTTAACTGCAAAACTGCTGTTCACTATGGTGCCAACTCCTGCAGCTTCAGTGGTAGCTAACATTTATTCATCATTAAGCGGAAGCAGCAATTACTGCTGAAATGTATTTACTTTATAAGCAGGCAAGCCATGCCATAAATGTTAGCGGTGAAGGGAAACAAACCATAGAATCACATCTATATACTGGAAAGACTAAAGACCCCATTCCATGAACATGAAAACTTCCTATTCAGGCCAAGTTTCAAGGACTCCAGATTTATATGGTTTATTTAGTTAATATTCTTACCAGTTAAAAAAATTCACTTTACTCAGACTACACAATGTGAAAGAGTGCAGATCTTTTGAGTTTTTCTTCTCCTCCACCCCACCCAATCTTTTGAGTTTTAATCCATTTTGAAAACTTCCTAAAGGGGTAAACCTAGATTTTACCTTCAGCTCTACCACTTTCTGTGGGTTCTTCCTCATCTCCAAAATGGAGGAAGTAATATCCACTTAGCAACACAGCTGTAGATAATACAAGGACTGTAGATAATATACATCTAAGGCCATCTATCAAAGTGCACTCATATTCTTCTATTCCACAAATTATATTTATTATTACAATTTGTTCTACATAACTTACTTGTTAATTTACTCATTCCTTTACTATCATTCCAAACTTTATCCTCCTTATTCATCTGCAGTTGCATGCTCAGCTTTTGATAAACTCCTGGTATCGCCTGAAGAAACACTACTGGTAATTTTCGGACATTACACCATTCACATTTGGTTAGATCAGAGGTATTTAAAGTAATCTTTACAGGATCACATTCTGGTTCTGAAGGAAAACATATGGAAATGAAAGAGGAATCAATTCTTAAGAAGGCAAAATCACAAATGCAGGGTATTTGTGAGGAAATATAAGTTCACAGTCAAGCACATATTTATTATGCTGTGTAAATAATAACTCTTATAGTAAAAAGAAAAATCTTTATAACTACCTTAAAGAGACTTCTACATTTTTCCCATATGAAAAAGGAGTTTTAAAAAGTCAGGCTTTGTGATATTACATAATGAAATTACTAAGATATTATGCTCTTTGTTAAGAAGATATCTTAATGAATTTTATGAATATAATTTAGTCTTTTATTCCTGTAAAGTGCTTTAGTGTAAATAAAGCTTTAGTAAATAAAAAGATATAAAGTAGCTTACCATCTAGTTGTATCTTGATAAACTCTAAACAAAACTAAAAAATAAGATAGATTAGTATTCATCACAGACTTATAAAGATTTTGCTACACATACCCCAACTGACATGTTATTTGGACCTTAAATCTTTAGAGGGCAGAAAAGCTAAGCCATCTACCATGTGCTTAAATACAAGATGAAATTATTACTGCCCCTCCCCATTTCTCTCAGAAAGGCAGGCTTCACCTTTTTTCTTCAAATATTTAGAACATTTCTTATATTACTGGTTTATCTCTTAAAACCTCACCAAGAAGTTGACATAACATTACAATGAACACCTCAATACTCCTAACCTAGACTCACTGCTAATATCATGCCATATCTCTTCTATCACTTTCTACACATATACTCACTTTTCCTTTGCTAAACCATCACAAAGCAGGTGGAAGACATCATAACATTTCATCCCCAAATCATTCTACATGTATCTCACAAGAACATTCTCCTTTACAACCAAACATTATTAGCACATCTAAGAAATCAAGATTAACTTCAACACATAATTCATACTCAAATTTCCCTAACTGGTCAGAATTGTCCTTTATTGTTATTTTATTTTTTTCCCAATCCACAGTTCTGTCAAGGCTACATTTATCTCTTCTGTCTGCTCCAATCTCAACCAGAAACTTGCTTCCCTCTGTTCTTCATGGCATGGGCTTTAAGGAATCTAGGTTCTGTTAAGGAATTTAAGGAAGTAGGTTCTGAATAACATCCAATACCCTGGACTTGTGTTTCCTTGTTTTAAAAATCAGGCCATATATTTCCAGCAAAAACAGCACATAGGTGATGTGCTGATATGCTGTCCTACTACTGATACAAGCTTAATCACTTAGATAAGGCAGTGACTGCCAGGTTTTTCCACTGTAAAGATACAATTTTCCCTCTGCAGCTGAAAAATCTGTGTAGAGATACTTGAAACCCTGTGAATATCCTTTTCCCTAATAATCTTTCACCCAATGGTTTTAGCAGCCATTAAAGATCCTTGCCTGAATCAGTTATTATTAGTTATAAAATGGTGATTTTCTAACTAATTATTTCAATGTGGAGAAGATACATTAAACCTGATACAACCTAAATTGATAATAATTTTTCATGTTTACAGAAGATAAGATAATCCAAGAAAGGTGGCAAGTTCTTTGAACTACATTTTAAAAAGGACAGATTGATATACAGAGGGATGAATAGCTATATGAAAAACAAATTTTACTAAAGCTGATGGTAGAACTTAGCTTGGAGGTATATAAATGTTCAGCATAAAATTCTTTCAAGTTTTCAGTCTGAAAATTTTCATAATGTAAAAAAAGAAAGGAAATACGAAATAAATCCAATAATTACTACAATAATTCCCAAGTCTAAAATGTCACTAAACATACCTTTTAAAGATTGCATTTGAAAGGAATACATTAAATTGGTTTCAATAAAAAGTAACACATTATTTGGGGATTATCAAAAATGAGTACTTGTAGCTTGGGAAACATTTCAGCACATGTAGAAGCTGAAGTTATATGCTTTAGAAAAATGTGTTACACGACTAAAAAGTGACAATAATAATGATAAATAAGGATACAAAACATTTAAATAAAATTGTTGCATGAGATGAAGGAATTGAAAGTTATGTCTAAATATTTGTGTATGACTAAATTACACACACATCAACACTGTAAACAGACACTGGGCTATTACATCTACATCGCAAAAGTTTCTAAATTTAAATTGGCTGAAAAATGAGGGACTGCTTTATATTTCAGCATATGTGGAATTACTACTAATGTTAAGCCATCTTACTTTCTAATGGAAGTATTTAATTTTAAGTAAAATCAACACTTCTAGATAGTGCCAATTTATCACTGAGTGGATTCAAAATGATTAAATTATCTAATAATAAGACTGTGGAATTTTATAAAACATTTAAAATAGTAAAACATTTAAAATCTGTTTCTCAGATTAATCATAACTTGGCAGATAAATCATTTCACTACAAAACATAAGGAAGTTATGTTTAAGAACAAAATATCAAATAGTCTTTTTAATCACACCATATGAAGAAATTACAGATCCACTAACTGTACTTCAATGAAGAACATCCTTTAGGAAAATTCCATGCTACAAGGAAGGTTAACACCACACTGCAAATTTCCACATTATATTTTTTGGCTAAATATTTCATTTAGCACTTTAACTTTTAAAAAAGCATTTCAAGATATTTTATAATACACATATTGTCTTTTACTTCTTCAATTAAATTTACCATGTTTGTCTTCACTGCAGCATATATAACCTGATCTGTAACTTTTATAAAAAAAGAATTCAAATTTCAATATAGTTCTTGATAGATACTTTTGAGACTAAACATGCAACTTCAATTAAATGTCTAAATCATCAGCAAAATCTAACTCATCAAACAAGAGTTATAAATAACTGTTTTTATGTGGGAGAAAGCCATAAAACTTTCAGGGTACTCACGCAAATTTTGGAGGTACAAAGTGACATAGAGTGACATTTTTATTAACTGATGGAAACCAGGAAAGATAATCTGGCTATGGAGGCTTGTAACAAAACAGGAATTTCATAAATCCCTGAAAATCTTGACATATGTTACAATGTTACTGACCGATAAAGGGTGGAGAGTTCATATATAATTTTCTTTAAATCTCTGGGGTATTTCTGCAACTTTACAGTTGTTAAACTGTGGGAAGCTGAAATTTTTTGAAGGAAAAGAAAAAATTGTTGGATTCCCAAAGAGTTTTGCTCTGGTAAGAAACCAAGTTCATATTTTATTTACTCCTACAAACAAACCTATAATTTGTTTTCTTTTGATCATATTATATCCTAGAACTATGAACCCTTACCAGAAAACAAATAGATAGTTCCTCACTGTAATTTAAATAATAATAAAACTACTTTTTAACTTTCCTGCTGAGATAAAATATGTTCTCTTAAAAATACTGTTTTATGTGTAACAAACAGTATTAGGAGACAGTGTTTGGAAACAAACAGGGACACTAACTTAAGGCACTGCAAAATAAAGGCTTACAGAATAAATATAGTGCTTTAGGAAGACTCTCTTAAACCAACAATGTTTAGAACATATTAGAAAGAAAAATAATGACTAAGAAGGCTGGTTAAGGAGACTGTAATTAACATTTCAAAAAGAAAATAAAAACTTGGATTGGCAGCAGATTAGTAAGTACATAGGTATGACAGGTAAGATAAAGGGACTACAGAAAGTTCTTTTGGCACATGGACAATGAACTACTCCAAAGCACAATGGAGTAGTGCTTTGGGTGGAAACTGGGTGGTCAGTGTAGTCCAATAATCTATTTCTAGGAGCATAACACATCTTTCAGCAGACTCCGAAGTTTTTGAATTATTCTTTCTCTATATATAATTTTTTAATGTATTCTTTTCATGCACTGAGGTAGCATTATAATAGGAAAGCAACAAATTGGAATGTTTTCTAACTCAATGAGAGTCGTATCTTCCTAAAATGAATATAATACCACTTCAAACATTAAGATAGATTTTTATCCACTGATTTTTAATGGTAAGGAGCTACTATTTATGTACCCTTAAAGCAATTTGAATTCTTAAAATAATTTTGATATTCTATTAAATTAAATATTTTAATTTACAAATTTTAAATATTACATATTAGCTTTAGCAATGAAATTTTGAATCTTATAATTGATATAGTAAGGAGCTTAAGAATGTACTTACAATTACAGGTTCTATTAATAGCCGGAAAAGAGTTCCTACTCGTATACTTCGACAGCTTACAACGACATTGTCAAAGGGTTTGGGGCAGCTTAAAGATACAGGATCAACTAAAGTTTCTTGAGAACACACTTTACGACGTTTTAGAGGTGTGTTGATAATAGAATTGCCAAACTGAAAAGCAAAAGAAAATTTTCACTTAAAATTTACTAAAACAATTAAACTAAGGACACATGAAAACAAGATCCACAAACTATCACAACATTAAACTGATTTTCCTTTAATAGCACTAGATAAAATAAAAATTCATGATTTTTATATAATAGTAAATCCTTTCTATTTTTATCTAGTTATAGTTTAGTTATTATTTCAAATTCAAGTAGTAGTATAGCAGTCTATATATAGTTTGCAGATCAAGCAGTACTATAGCAGTAGTATATCAGGAATAGTACTCTGGGAATCAGATTGCCTAGGTTCAAACAGCCACACTAACTTTTAATGATCTGATCCAGTAAAACTTAACCTAATAATTTAGAAGAATGGTTATTTTGTACTACAAAAAGATGTTTCTTTATATATTTACATATTTTAAATTACTTGATCTGTTAAATTATAGTTTCGTTATTTCATAGTCACTTCCAAATACAAATTAATCATAATAAATATTTTATATAAGTACATAATTTTAATTAACAATAATTATATTATCTTTATTATCATCACAAATATAAAACATGAGCTTGACTATAAAACAAAAGGGGAGATAAAAGTCCACTGCAAAGAGATAGGCACTGTTCCCATTATCCTTCTACAGACATTTCTATGACCTATATCACAGGAAAAAATAATTATTTACAAAAAAATGTGATCATGATATATACTATATATATATGATTTTGTAAACTGCTTTCTCAGGCTTATTAACAGATTTATCATTAATATTTCTCCATAGATTAATATCAACTTATTAGGTTTAAAAGATTTTTTTTAAGCTTTAAGGTTATTTATTTATTTTTATTTTTTTTGAGACAGTCTCGCTTTGTTGCCAAGGCTAGAGTGAGTGCCGTGACGTCAGCCTGGCTCACAGCAACCTCAAACTCCTGGGCTCAAGCGATCCTTCTGTCTCAGCCTCCCAAGTAGCTGGGACTACAGGCATGCACCACAATGTCCAGCTAATTTTTTCTATATACATTAGTTGGCCAATTAATTTCTTTCTATTTATAGTAGAGACAGGGTCTCGCTCTTGCTCAGGTTGGTTTCGAACTCCTAAACTCAAATGATCGGCTCCCCTCGGCCTCCCAGAGAACTAGGATTACAGGCATGAGCCACTGCGCCCGGCCTAGGGTTATTTTTTAATATGAGAAGTCATTTAGGCCAAGTGCGGTGGGTCATGCCTATAATCCTAGCACTTTGAGAGGCTAAAGCAGAAAGATCACATGAGGCCAGGAGTTTGAGGGAGGTTTTTAGTTCACTAATAAAACAGATAATTTAAGGGCTGTTTCAGTTGAATCCACAGTAGAAGGACTGAGGCTAGAATCTAGATGGTCTGCACTCTCCTATGGAGAATCACCGAGAAGAACAACAAGGTACCCTTATGATTCAGTGTGTCAGTCTGAAAAGTGCTCACCTTAAAATTTCATCACATGGAAATCCACTATTTAACTAAATTCTTCTTTGCTGGACATCTAAGGTCTTTCTGATCTCTCCCCTTAACAACCTATTTGCCAAAGGGTATTTTTGCAGTTCAACTGTGGTACACGTATAGAATTATTGCAAAACTGCCCTCTAGCAAAATCATACAAATTTAGATACCCAAACATTGATGAAACACTATCATACTACAAATATTTTTGGTAATTTGGACAGTGAAAAAATGGCATTTTAATTTCATTTTTGCTACTTTGATTACTACCTTTTCTGAAATTCTATTCATTCCTTTTATTCCTTTTCCTATGGTTTGCTTCTATTTCTTGATTTTAGGAAATTAAAAATATTAAACAATCAATTTATACTCTGTCACAAAGTTCACAATTTTTCCAATTGCATTTACCTATCAAATTCTGCTTCTGATGTTTTGCTACACTGTTCAGTACTTTTCATTTAATCAAATATATTCATCTGTTCATTTACTACTTTTGCTTGTGTTGTCATGCTTGGAAAGGCATTCCTTAAGATTATATAAAAATATTAATCCATATTTTTTTCTATTATCCTATGGTTGCTTTTTGTTCTTTTTCATTTTGTAAGGTTCCCATCTTAACCAAGTATGTATGTTTCCATATTTTCATCTGTACTCTTATAAACCCAGACATAGATATTCACAAATACATAATTTTTTTTTAAGAGACAGGGTCTTGCTCTGTCACCCAGGCTGGAGTGCAGTGATGCAATCATAGCTCACCGTAGTCTGGAATTCCTGGATTCAAGCAATGCTGCAGCCTCAGCCTCAGAGTAGCTAGGAGTACAGGCGTGAATCACTACACTCAGCCAATTTTTTCTATTTTGTTGTAGAGAGAGGGTTTTGAGCTCCCGGCCTCAAGCAATCCTCCCACCTTGGCCTCCCAAAGTGAGGTACCTAAGCCAGCATGCCCAGCCCACCTACATAATTTTTACCAATAAGTCTATTATTTTATAAAATGTCTTTACTAAAATAATATGCACATATTTCTGTATCTTAGCATTCCTATTCAACAGCACTATGTAAAAATTCTAAAAGTCATTAATGTAGCTCTAGTTTTTATTTTCAATGGCTGCATGGTATGGATGTACCATAACTTCTTCAGCCATATCCATATTAATGGGCAAAGATTTTGCTTGCAGTTATTTACCAATAATCATATTTGTATATGCAGCCTTACATACTGGGGAAGAGGGGATATTCCTTTGAGATGGAGTCTAAGGAAGTAACTATCCAGTCAAACAGTACATATTTAAAATTTTTTTAATAGTCATTTTCACATGGCTTTCCCAAGAGGCCAATAATAACAATATTTTCCTTTAGGAAAGTACCTTTTCCCTTAGATTCTTGCCAGTAGTACATATTAGCTGATTTTACATCAATTTTGTAAGTTTGTGAAGTATAGTTATATTTCATTTTAATTTGCACTTCCTTACTAATTTGAACTTTCAATGTGATAGTTTAGTATATGAATTTTCTCCTCTCTTTATCTATTCTTACCCTTTGTTCATTTTCTTTTTATCCTCTAACTTTTAAGAGTTCTTAATCTACTATAGATATTAAAGTATGTCATCTATATTACAATTATTCTCTCTGGATCTGTTTTTCTATTGACATCGTGGTTTTTTAATTTTTTTGACACAGGGTCTTGTTCTGTTGCCCTAGACTAGAATACAGTGGTGCCATCAAATTCCTGGGCTCAAGCAATCCTTTTTGTCTCAGCCTTTTGAGTAGCTAGGACTATAGGAGTTTGCCACCATGCCTACTTATAACATTGTTTATATTACCTATTTCCATTTTGAAATTTTTATACAGTAAATTATAAAATGAAACAATATGATAAAACTTAACAGTATTATAGTAAAATGCATCCAAGTTAAAATGACTTCTCCCTGTTTGCTAGATTTTACGAGTAATATCCTTATATATACTAAGATTTTGCTATAAGGTTGATACTTTGTTGTTCAATTTTTTATACTTTAAGATTTATGTTTAATTGTAATTTATTTTTGTATATGGTTTATTGCTCTTCCAAATAATCTTCCATGTGGTATTTAAGTCCCACTTAATGCATAATCAATCTTTTTCTCCTACTGACACCACCAAATTGCCTTCTGAAAAAATATTTACATCCCAAAAGGGATACTTTAATCTGAACAAATGTAAAAAGTACCTGGTCTTTCATTCTTGCTTTTCTTGGCAATGTAACTGTATTTAACTCTGAGTCAACTGGAATGCTTCTTAGTTCATGCTCTACTTTGCAGGTATTTTCATTTAGTGCTGCTTCTACTTTTCCAGTAGACGGTGCTGGGGAAGAACATGCTGAATCAGCAGGTTGAGGAGATACGCTCTCTCTTCTATTAGACCTGTCATTGTCATCATCATCATCACTGGACAAAATAACTAAAATTATAAAAAATGTACATCTTATATTAAAATTTATATTAACATTTTACTTATAATTTTTTATTTCATTTCTGTCAGTTAAAAATGTAAATAAATTATCACAGTGAGAAATACACTAAATTTTTTGTGCATCTCTTCCAGATCTGAGAAAAAATGGGCTAGGTGTGGTGGCTCACGCCTGTAATCTTAGCTTTTTAGGAGGCTGAAGCAGGAGGACCTCTTGAGGCCAGGAGTTCAATACCAACCTGAGCAACATAGCGAGACACTGTCTATACAAAAAATAGGAAAAAATTAGCCAAACGTGGTGACATGCGCCTGTAGTCCCACCTACTCAGGGGGCTGAGGCAGGAGGATTGCTGGAGCCCAGGAGTTTGAGGATCCAGTGAGCTATGATGATGCCACTACACTCTAGTCTAGGCAGCAGAGCAAGACAATGTCTTAAAAAAAAAAAAAACTGAAGATACAACCCACTTTAGCTGATAGAAAGTTAAATCTGAAGAAAGCATAAGACTTTGAATCTTTTTAAAAATACTATACAAATGTAAAATTGTTTTTATTAGCCTATTGCCCCTCACTCACACAGCAAGATCAGCAAGTTTCAAGAACTGTTTATCTGTAGGTTTCAGAGTTTCAAAAAGTGTAAGGTGTGAAAACAATTTGCATACAGCTTATTTTACAAAATAGCATGCATTTTAAATATGCGTGAAACTCCATGTAACCAAATAATTTTGGGCGACACAGGAAATCACTAAAATCATAATTGGTCCTTGGGAAGATCTGGACCAGTGCCTAATGCTCAGCACATATTGTTGAGCAAATTAATGTGGGCAAGAAAAGACATTATAAAAGCAATTTGCTCTTATATTTTGTACTCATTACTGAACCTTACCACATCCATCTCTACATAACTCCCCAGAGCCACCCATATTGTACTTGAGTCAAACACCAACTCCTTACTCTGGTTTATAAATTTACATAATCTGGCCCCTGCCAATCCGTCCAATTCTCTCATACTATATTTTATTTTTCTCTTTATGCTCTAGGTACACTAGCCATTCTGTCCCACAAACACCACAAGCTTATTACTGCCTGGATTGTGCTTTCCCTAACACTGCATTTTTGTCACCAATTTTTAGCTTAAATATCACCTTTTGATTGACAATCTAATCTAAAATAAGCACACAGGTACTCAGTCATATAAACTAATTTAAATTTTCTGTTGTTCTTTGTTGTGATGTTTCCTTGCTCATCTATCTTCTCCCTACTACATATCAACTACAAGTGTGCAGACACTGTCTTGCTCACTGCTATATTCCCAGGCCTAAAATAGTGCCTTACATACAAAAAAACATTAAAAAATCACGTGTTGAAGAACACATGAACTTGTAGGAGCAATTTTCCACTTTAGTATTCCACACATAAATGCTTAATATTTACTGAGTGATGTACATGTCACAGAGGAGCATCATCCCCAGCATTATTCCACTTGTCCTTTTTATTTTGCTGTCCAATCTCAGGAGTAAATGCTATGCTTACCTCTTCTTCGGAACTGGTCTTTTATTAACAGAAAACCTAATATGCCAGATGAGAAGGTTTAAGCAGATTTATTTATACAGTATTTGAAAGTTGGGGTTTTGCCAATTATTGGTTATTTGGCTCATATTCTCTTCTCTGTGAAATTAGGGACAATAATGGTACCTATATCACAGGATTGTTACAAGAAGCAAATGAGATGTAAAAAGCTTAGCACAATGCTTGGTATATATATTTATACACACACACACACACACACACATAAATATATAGTATTTTTTTAAGAAGTCCATGAACTATTTATAGTTTATTAAAAAAAATACACAAAAATGTATTATATTGAAAGGGAAGCCTAGTGTTCTATCTACAATTATTATTATTTTTATTATTTTTAGAGATAAGGTCTTGCAATGCTGCTGAAGCTACTTTTGAACTCCTAGGCTCAAGCGACCCTTCTGCCTCAGCCTCCCAAGTAGCTGGGACTACAGGTGTGTGCCACCATGCCTGGCTTACAATTATCTTTATGGTGTTTGAAGGGCATTAAAACTTCTGCATCTTCTATAACAAAAATTTATTTTAAAGCCCAAATGCTGCAACAAATTAAGACTATATTATGTAGTTTACATTTAATTAACTTAAAATAAATAAGGGTGCTATGCAAAGATGATGTTATATAGTTAAAAGGTTGTTCTCATAGCTGCTTTCATTTTATTTAAAAAAAAATAGAACATATGCTAAATAAATATCCATCTAGGACCCTGCCTTAGGGTCTGCAATGAATTGAACTATCTCCCCTCAAAATTCTCATGTTGAAGTCCTAACCCCCCCCCAACATGACTGTATTTAGAGATAACATCTTTAAGGAGGTAATAAAGATGAAGAGACATCAAAGATCTCTCTCTGCTGGCACACACAAGGAAGGCCATGTGTGGACACAGTGAGAAGGCAGACATGAAGCCAGGAAGAGACCTCACCAGACACCAACAACACCTTGATCTTGGACTTCCTGCCTCCAGAACTGTGAGAAAAAAATTTTGTTTAAGCCACCCAGTCAATGGTATTCCATTATGGCATCCTGAGTAGACCAATAAAGAGTCTTTGTACTTACATTCTAAACTTGTTCCCATATATATCAGCTTGTCTTCCTACTCATTTCGTTTTGGACTCTGCTCAAAAGTTACCTTATCAAAAATACCTATTCTACCACCTATCTAAAATAGCACTCTCCTTCCTCTTGACACCTAACTCTCCACTTCCGGGAGATGCTTCACTCTTCTGCATTGAATTCATCACCTACCCAAGACATTATACATTTTATTAATAGACTATTCACACTAGAATAAAAGCCTCATCATGATAAATTATTTTAAAAGGAAAACATTTAATAATAAGTATATTAAGAAAAAAGACTTTGGAATCTGAAAGATCTGTTATTTTCTTAAGAAAAACCAAACTCCAATAGTCCAAATGTATATAACACTGAGAAGTTATTCAATCTCCTTTAAAGCCTGGGTTACCTCGTTTATAAAATGGGTATATCAGTAGCTACGTCATACAATTGTGAAAACTAAATTAAAACTGGATAGTGTATAACACTTTCTTCTTTTATAAAGCAGGGCACACAAGTATGCAATAAATGACATATTTTATTATTAATATGTTCTTATAATGGAGCATATTTTTCCATATACTTTAATGGAAAATACTTATCTTTTAATTTTTTTGAGGATAGCAAATTTATGCTTTATATGGTTTTAAATCATGGTTTATATGGTGCGATGTTAAGCTCTGACTAGTAAGCCTGCTTAAGGTACCTCAGAATCACATGAATTTATTTCCTTATATTATCAACCTGCATGGTTAATATAGACATAATACCTAATTTTTTTAAAAAAGTTACTTATCAACTTAGCCTTATTAACGTCCAGTTCCCCTAACCCCGGAAACCTTATGATCTTAAGTTTCCTATATAAAATTTGGCTCAGTCATAATACCCAGTAAATTGCCTAATAAGTGAGAGTTCTTTTCATGTCTTAACTTTAAAATACAAAACTTCACTCTTAAGATTCAAATAATGTTAACAATATTTAATATAGTATAACATGGAAATGTATTATAAAATATTTGTCAAAAAATATCATCATAATGTCCTAACACAGTATTTCTTTACTTGACTGAGTTCTTTTTGAAATGTAAGCTAATGTGCTGGTGTAGACTGAGGTTTTCATATTGAAATTAATTAAAATAGAACCTGGCATATTTCTGAGATTCAAAAGAATTCTTTTTTTTTTGGCTTGCAAATGACCTGAATGATCAAAAGAATTCTTAATATTTTCCCCTTTATTTACCAGTTTTCTAAATAATGCTTTGGAACCCTAATCAACCTCTAAGGTAACCAATGAAGGGCTTTTTTCCTTTTTGGGGGATAGGAAGGCATCTTAATGAACTATTTAACTTTAACATATTTGACATATTTAAATGACTAGTGGCCATGATTTTTTTGTGACTCACGTAGTTCCATTCAGCAGTTAGTGCAAGCCCTTTCATTTTAGCTCCATGTCTTTTTGCATGTCCATATTAGTTTCTGACAGCTTCCTGATATGACTGAATGATCTACGTTTCTCATATATTTCATGCTCCACACCTGGACTCATCTGTTTTTCTGAGGAGCTCTGGTTATTTTTACTGGGAAATGATATTTAAAACCAAAGATATAGGCACTAGGTTTTTTTGTTTTTTTGTGTTTTTTTTACTGTTTCTTGGTATTTTCTGTAGATAAAGCAAGGAAATATTTATTTTATATTTAAGAGAAAATATATAAGTTCATACTATTATCTCCAACTGAAAGTTACAGAATTTTTACTTGATTTTACTTTTTTTTTTTTTTTTTTTTTTTAAATTTTAGAGTCAAGTTCTTGTACTGTTGTCTGGTGAGGTACAGTGGTGTCATCATAGCTCACTAGATACTCAAACTTATGGGACTCAAGTGATCCTCTTGCCTTACTTCCCCAAAGTGCTAGGGTTATAGGCATGAGCCACCATGCCCAGCCTGATTTTACTTTTGTATTCCTTTTCTCTAACTACAAAAATCTTGGTTCTTAGGTACAATAATATAATTACTTATTTGCTTTATCAATATGTGATTAAAATTAACAATACCAATATTATTAATAACAGTACTAATGAATACACTTAAGATTTTTCTGCAGTTCTATTTAACCTTAAAATATACCACCATTAGGAATGTCAGCCACATTATTTTAATTTAGATTCACTTGAAATACTTTTATGTGTTCAAGCTACCAACTAAATATATAATTAAGTTTATTTGTTTCATTTTGTGTTTGAATTCGTTCTTTGGTTTTTAAAATTGTTTTTAAATTTTGTTTTATAATTATTTAAAACATTTACATAGTTCCAAAGTCAAACCTATAAAAGAAGGTATATTTGGAAAAATGTACCATCTACCCCTAACACCCTGTAAAAAGAAAATAAAAATCAGAGCTAACCCCTCAACCCCATATGCAAAAGGGAAGGTAAAGGCCTCAGGTACCTTGTGAAGAACTGGCCCAACAGATCATTCAGGAAATTCCTTGCTGACCTCCCATAAGCAAGGACATGTCAATTATAACTATAAATCCACAGGCTGTGTGTAGCTCGTAAAACTAAAGTCTGTTTGATTCCACACTAATAACGAATTATAGGTTTATCTTCACAGGCAGAACAGAGATGTAGATTTTCCTGGATCTCACAGGAATGTAACCATTTTGTCTCACTATTCCCAGTCCTTTGCCTTTTTTTCTACTGTATGCCTTTAAAATGCTGAAACTTCCAAATTCCCCTTCAGAAAAACCACCACAGGTCTGTCTTTGGTTTGTGTTTTTCCAGGGCATATCCTCAACTTTGCTTAATATCTGCTTCCTCCCCTTTCAATCATTTTTCCTATTAGTTTTTTATACTCTATTTTATTTGAAATGGGGCCTTGCTACGTTGCCCTGGCTGGACTCGAACTCCATCCATCTCAGCCTCCCAAGTAGCTAAGACTATAGGAGCATACCACTGTGCCTGGCTTCTGTTTTTTAAAAGAAACTATATTCATTCTCCCATCCTATAGCTTGCTTCATTCCCATCATTAAATATCTTGGAAATCACTCTACATAGTATTATTACTATGTCAGATCTTTCACCCTTTTACAGCTACATACTCTATCCAACCAGTCTCCAATTATTTCTAATCTCCTGCTATTTTGGACTGCCTTCCACATACATCCACATATGTATGCATGTGTCCAAAGATAGGGAAAAGATTTAGGGGAGGAACAAAAGTGGTAAAAAAAAACTAATTTTCACCAAATCCTTTCTATGTGTCAAATATTTTATTGACCTAAGACTGGGGCTGAGGTCTGTGCTATTTTTTAACTATTTAAGATGGACCAGATGAGGACAAAGCTTTCTTTATGCTCACACTCGCATAAGAAATATATTAAAAATACTAGATTGAAATAAGTAATATTAAAGGGAGTAAAATACTTACTTGGATCATTTAGATCTGACAGGCTTGTTTTTCTTTCTTTCAAGTTTGTGATTTTGGGTATTTTTGTCCCAGGTAAAATAACTTTTCCATTAGTCTGTAAATAATTGCGCCTACTATCATCACAATTCACAATAACATCAATTGGAACCTTTTCCACACTGTTGCCATAAAACTTCTTGGTTGTTAATCCTGTGTTTTGTGACTTCTGTCCTCCAGAATTCTGATGAATTGACGTTCTTAATAATGGTCCAGGAGATTCACTCAAAGTTATAGCTTGTCTGCAATTTCTTTGCAAATCCTTAGGAAAAAGAACACCACAACTTTGGCATTTGGTCTGATTTTCTTTTTCTTTTCCATATTTTGGACAACATTCACGCTGTTCAGAAACTTTAAGTTCCAAAAGAACAAAAGAAATAAAAGATTTTGGCATTTTATTTCAAAATCAAGGAACTCCCCCCTCCAAAAGTCTCAAAATTAAGTCTCTCTCTCCCCTATCATGAGAACCATGGCTATCATGAGACCCTGCTGAGTAAGTCATGTTAACTGGGATTTAACATCAGAATGCTGGAAGATATTTTCAAGACCATCTAGGCCAGCAGTCAACTACATATAAACTAATTCCATCTTTAAGAATCTGGGGATGATCAAGCCGCGTACTGACTGGCTCCAATACTTTACTGTCTTGTAATAAAGATAAACAGGACATATCTAAATGAAAAGAACTACATGGCAAAGTGATACTTCCAGATATTTCCTTTTATAAAATTAATACCAAACAGAAAAAGTATATCCTTACTATTAAAATTCCCAATATTAAAATATAGAAGAAAATATATCCTGAGCTATTAGTATATGCCTTCCCTCAGCTTAGAAACACATATCTTGGAACTTTTTGCAATAATTAGGAACTAAATGCTGATTAGATCAACTGAATAAGATATGACATTTTTCATGATAAAAACTAGAGATTAAGAATTCTATCAACCTAACAAATCTAAAAACTAGAATCTCAACACTGTTCCATTAGTTTTAGTAGAGTTTATATAAAGGAGTGAATTTTCATAATATTTTACATTAAGTATAATTTCTTTTGGAAAACAAAAATTGATTAAAATCTCATTTCCCCCTTTTTGTCAGTGGAAGACTTTTACAAAATAAAATAATTCCAAAGTACATATCACATACTATCTGCAAGTCTCACCCATAAATAACCAACTACACTAATAAGAATGAGCCTATCACTGATGAGATCTCACTAAGACAATGTCATTTTTATTACATATCCTAAAAATGTTTAATTCCATTGAATTCAAAATCTTGTTTTCCTGTAACCAGTATGTAGTGTGGAATTTCACAAACTATACATGGAAAGAAAAACCACTAACCTTGTTCACGAGTTAGATTACATAGAGGCTGGCTACAATTCTTTATCTCCACTAAGAAAAAAACAAGAACAATTGGCATGGGAGTAAAAAGTAAAAGAAGAAAGATTTGTTTTAGGCATTAAAAAAAATTCTGGGGCTTTCAGCTGGCATGCCTAGTGGAAGAAGGATGCTGTGTCTAGGGAGGGTCTTTCCTCCTTCCTCCTTAACCTAGGCCAAGCAGTACTGGTTGTCAGGATGGCCTGAGCCAAGCTTAAGCTGGCATACCAGACTGATCACATGAAGGAAAACTGAGCAAATAGGTAAATACACTGGGGATGAAGGGTGTCAGGTTTCTTACTGTCAGAGAAGGGAGTTACAAACATACAAAGTGAGAAAGACAAAGTGTGGTGTTGGACTAGAATTAGAGTTAGCAATGTGCACTCATAAATTTTAATATGTATTTCATATTGACATATAAATATATTTCTTAGCTCTGTCCATTGAGAGGGCCTAGAAACAATGACACCCAGTATCAACGAACGTAACTTATGCCTAAATATTTTCCCTCTACTTGAGGGAACCATTAATGGCTTCTTGCAGAAATATATGACTGTAGGGCTGAGACACAGGAATATAAGTCTTGTTATACCAAAGAGTAAAGAAGTGCTCAAAGAATGATGGGGACACATCAAAAAGAAACAAGGGCCAGTTCAAAGGGACTCCCATGGACCAAGTCTAGAACAATTTTAGTATCAAAATAAATAATGAAAGCTACAGACTATAACCCTTTAAGTAATAACCCCATGTGTCATGCTGATATAAATAAATGAATGAGTAAATGTAGAATAAGGAAAAGCTCTACTTTACATTAGAAGTCCTATTAATAAATGAGCATAGAAATATCTATTAATTCACTCTGCAGTGGAGAAATCTAGAACGTTTTAACTACGGTTAAAGTTAATATTAATGTGAAAATCAACAATGTGTATCCCCTGATATTATATGATGCAATGAGAGGATTATAGCGTCATTTCTGAGGTATTCTTGAAAACAATATAAACCATAAAGAAACATCAGACAAACCTAACCTGAGGTACAAAGTGGCCTATACTCCTTAGAAATATAAAGATTATGAAAGACAAAGAAAGACTATGAAATTATTCCTTACCGAAAGACTAATTCATGGCAATTAAATTTAACAGATGACCCTGAATTGGATCCTGTACCCATAAAGAACATTATTTAGGTGAAATCTGAACAGCGTTTAGGGATTAGATGATATTTCTGAATCAATGTTAATTTTGTGATTTTGATAGCTGCACTCTGGTTATTTAAGAGGATGCCCCCACCCCCAATGTTTTATTAATTTTTTTTTAAGAAAAGAAACACACTGAAGTGGCAAATGGGCATCATGCCTATAACTTATACTCACATGGTATGGAAGAATACATACATGTAAATGTTTATGGTGGGGAGGGAAGAGGGAGAAAGGCACAGAGAAGAACAATAAAACAAATGTGAAAAACTAGGAAATCTGGAGGAGCACATACATAGTCTATTATTTAACTTTTCTTTAAAATTATTTTAAAAAATTTCAGGTCAAGAGTGATCACTTGGAGTGCATTACAACTTGGAGTACATACAGAAAGGCACTGAAAAATTCTTTTCAAAAAAAAAAATTCTGTATTTTGGACAGGTAAAAAATGGCATATTGAAGACAAAAAAGTCTGCCTAAGTAACATTTCTAGGTCTCTTCTGGTCCTATAATAAAAGATCACCTAGAATTTAATAAGTACTAAAAAAATAATAAAAATACTGTCTGACTAGCAAAATAAAGAATAATTTCTCTACCTACCTCTAAATGGGTTAAACATTTTTTTGAAGCAGGAGACAAAGGAGGAGTAGGCTGATATGTACTACAGTGACGTTTCTGTTGTACTTTCCTCTTAATTTCAGGCTCCACGTGTGATTCAGATTCTTCTGTTTTCTTCATTATACGTTCTAAAGGAGGGAGAAAAAAATAAAAGCAATGAAATTAAATTGTATAAATTCCTTATGATTTTTGCTATGAAAAAAATACTACTTTTAGTTAAAATAAACTAGTGTTTCAACAGGTACCATAAAGAATAACCAGGGCCAGGCCCAGTGGCTCACGCCTGTAATCCTAGCACTCTGAGAGGACAAGGTGGGAGGATCGCCAGAGGTCAGGAGTTCGAGACCAGCCTGAGAAAGAGTGAGACCCCGTCTCTACTAAAAATAGAAAAAAATTAGCTGGGTGTGGTGGCAAATGCCTGTAGTCCCAGATACTTGGGAGGCTGAGGCAGGAGGATTACATAAGCCTAGGAGTTTGAGGTTGCCATGAGGTAGGCTGACAATGTGGCACTCTAGCCTGGGCAACAGAGTGAGACTGACTCAAAAAAAAAGAAAAGAAAAGAAAAAATAATAATCAGAACTTTTAAGATTATACACAGTGTGGACCAATTCATCAAGTATACCAATATTGTCTTCAGCTTAGTTTGTACTACTAAGGCAACAGAAGCACATCTTGTACTGAACCACTCATATATCTTTTTTCCAAGTTCATTGCTCTTCTTAGATTAATAATAAGAAAAATCTGAATTCAAACATTGGATACAACTGTTTAAAGGAAATTAAAGTAACCCTCAAACTAACAGTTTTTTAAGTTCAAGATACACAAAAAAGATTTTTTTCATTATTTTTCAATGTAAATTTAATAATTTTCAATAAGACTATAATTAAAAATTTTAGTGGCCAGGCGAGGTGGCTCACACTGGTAATCTTAGCACTCTGGGAGGCCGAGGTGGGAGGATCACTCAAGGTCAGGAGTTCGAAACCGGCTTGAGCAAGAGCGAGACACCGTCTCTACTAAAAATAGAAAGAAATTAATTGGCCAACTAAAAACATATAGAAAAAATTAGCCAGGCATGGTGGTGGATGCCTGTAGTCCCAGCTACATGGGAGGCTAAGGCAGGAGTATGGCTTGAGCCCAGGAGTTTGAGGTTGCTGTGAGCTAGGCTGATGCCACGGCACTCTAACCTGGGCAACAGGGTGAGACTCTGTTTCAAAAAAAATTTTTGTAATGATTTGATGAACTCCAAAACAGGCCAATTTAAAACTTACCACAATCTGACTTCATCAGCGAAGGTTAAAGTATGCAAGAGGCAAACATGTTTCTAAAGCAAAAAATGAATCAATGAACCAAAACATCCTATCTTAATAATCCTAGCTTTGTTAAGTACTTCTATTTTCCTTTTTATTTTTTAAATAAGATTATATACACATAAAAGTCAACATTATCTAATATTTAGTTTGATATACAATACTGCCTTTAAAAACCTATATAATCATTCTTGCTTACTGCAATCACACAAAGTTCCAGTAAGTGATTATAACCTCTCAATCTTCATACTTCTATTTTGCTAGACACTAAAGCTAGAAATTTAAATAATTCGTGACTATGCTTTATCCCTCCTTCCTCACTTTCAAAAGAACTTTACTTTCTAATAGCTCTTAAATTCACTCTCTTCTCTCCAAACCCATTGCCACTATATTTGGGATGCTTAACTCTTACCTAAACTCATCTCCTTTGTTCTAATTTTGCTCCCTTCAAATCCTTCCCCATTACTGCTGAAATGATTCAGTACAAAAATGACTTTGTCATTCTAATACTTAAAACTTTTCCATGATTCTAGTAGTTAAGGAAAAAACTCTAAACTCCATCTCTTTTGGCAACCAAAGTTCATGCTGACGTTCCAGTCTTAATGCATTTCTCCAGGATGCTCTCTGCCCCTCTTACGAATGCTATTCTCTTCACAAGCAAGTGAAGCCCTACGTATCTGGTGAATTCAAACCTTTCTTTGTCAAGAAGCTGCCTCTGCCCCACTCCAAGCACAATTAAGTGATCCTCAGAGTTTCCATAGCATTAATTTTATTTTATTATATTTATTTGTACTTCTATTTCCCCCGTGATACTGTCAGCTCTGAAAGAGCAAAACATCATGTTTTAGACACGTGTTTTCTCAGCATCTAGAAACTACACAAGGTAAGGGCTAAACAAATGCCTACTTGGATTAATGAATCACATGAGAAAGATAAAACCACATGACACAAGGCCGGGCGCGGTGGCTCATGCCTGTAATCCTAGCTCTCTGGGAGGCCGAGGCAGGCGGATTGCTCGAGGTCAGGAGTTCAAAACCAGCCTGAGCAAGAGCGAGACCCCGTCTCTACTATAAATAGAAAGAAATTAATTGGCCAACTAATATGTATATAAAAAAAAATTAGCCGGGCATGGTGGCGCATGCCTGTAGTCCCAGCTACCCGGGAAGCTGAGGCAGAAGGATCTCTCGAGCCCAGGAGTTTGAGGTTGCTGTGAGCTAGGCTGACGCCACGGCACTCACTCTAGCCTGGACAACAAAGCGAGACTCTGTCTCAAAAAAAAAAAAAACAAAAAACCACATGACACATAAAAAAAATGAAATTTCAGGGGTCAGGGGAAGAGATGGTATCATCACTATGTCATATCTGAAAATGGCTTATCCTTTGCCACACAGAGATCATGATTCATGTACAGATTTAGAACCCTAAGGACTTAGCCTTCAGCTGGGGAGAATTACTATAAGGAGCTTTTTTCCTCTCTCTCCTGAGGTTACAGAGAAGCTGCGCCAGTCCAGAGTTATTATTTCTATCAGGGCTAACAAACTTTGTTGATTATGTAGATATAAAAAGCAGTTTCTATGTAAGTGATTATTAAAGAGGTATAATGTGACATTCTAAGGAAAAAAGGAGGCAGATAACATTTTGGGATTCAGAAAATATATAAACACAGTTATCTGAAACTCAATTATTCAAAAAATTTAATTTACTGCAGAGCAGTCTTAAAACATGAGTTAACCCCCCCCAATTTTTTTTTTTGCCTTACAAAATTCCATAATTTACACAAAGGAAAGCTTTATCCTTACAAACATAATTAATCTTTGTAAGCCACACAGTATCTTTGCACATCATTTTGCTCAATATGTATCTAATTAGTTTTCTGACAGATCCTACTTAGAGATTGACATTTTAAAAAAGGTCAGCTGTGCACCAGGCAGTCACAGCTCCCTTCCCACAAAACAAAACAGTATCACTTCATTTCTGATTATTTAATCACTCTTCTCTCCACTATAGCTATTACATCAGGTCTATGTCACATTTTCTCTATCTACCATCATAACAAAGGGTGGGGGGAAACAAATGGCCCAAGCTTTGAAGTAATTGAGGACTTTTATTGGTAATAGGTGGAGATAAATGATATTAAAGTATGAATCCCTAAATCAATGCTATCTAAAAGGTTTTGAAGGAAAGAAAAAGGCAAGGAATGACATAATTCAAAATATTAAGATAAAACTTTTGAAACCAATGTGATGTGGCAAAATGGCTAATGACTACAGTGTTATAGGAAACCAGAGTAGGTCTACAAAGAGTCAAGTAATAAACATAAAAATGTTAGTATCAGAAATTCCTTTAGGACTAATTCCTTTAGTTAAGAAATTCCTTTAGGACTAATATCTAGAATCTATTAAGGAACTCAAACCTATCAGCAAGAAAAATACAAATAACCCTTATATTAAAAAGTAGGAAAAGACATGAGCATTTTTCAAGAGAAACAAATGGCCAATAAACATTAAAAATGTTCAACATCACTAGTCATCAGGGAAATGCAAATGACAGCCACAATGAGATACCACTTTACCCCTCTCAGAATGGTTATTTAAAAAATCAAAAAACAATAGATGCTGCTGCAGTGAAATGGGACTGCTTATACACTGTTAGTGGGAATGTAAATTAATACAACCTCTCTGGAAAACAGTATGAAGATTTCTTAAAGAACTGAAAGTAGATCTGCCATTCAATCCAGCAATCCCGGCCGGGCGCTGTGGCTCACGCCTGTAATCCTAGCTCTTGGGAGGCCGAGGCGGGCGGATTGCTCAAGGTCAGGAGTTCAAAACCAGCCTGAGCAAGAGCGAGACCCCGTCTCTACTATAAACAGAAAGAAATTAATTGGCCAACTGATATATATATAAAAAAAATTAGCCGGGCATAGTGGCGCATGCCTGTAGTCCCAGCTACTCGGGAGGCTGAGGCAGAAGGATCACTCGAGCCCAGGAGTTTGAGGTTGCTGTGAGCTAGGCTGACGCCACGGCACTCACTCTAGCCTGGACAACAAAGTGAGACTCTGTCTCAAAAAAAAAAAAAAAAAAATCCAGCAATCCCACTACTGAGTATCTACCCAAACGAAAAGAAGTCAATTTCTAAAAATGACACCTGTACTCGTAGTTTATCACACCACATTTCACAATTGCAAAGGTATGTAACCAACACAGGGCCCATCACCTGTTGAGCGGATAAAGAAAATGTAGTATATGTAGACTGTGACACACTACTCAACCATGAAAAGGAATCAAATAATATCTTTTACAGTAACTTAGATGGAACTGGAGGCCATTATCCTAAGTGAAGTAACCCAGGGACAAAATACCAAATACCATATATTCTCACTAACAGGTGAGAGCTAAATAATGGGTATGCATGACCATACACATTATTAACATAATGAACAGTAGAGACTTAGAAGGGGGGTTGCATACAGGGCTAACTGATCATGGAAGTGATTTTTGCTAAGACATCATGCAGCAAAACCATAACAGATTACTCCCGGAAGGTACCTGAGATGAATGTGACATTACTGCTTTAGATGAATCCCTCTTTTAGAGAAGGGAAAGGGAACAAAGAGTATTTATCCAAGATCACACAGTAGAAACATCAAGATTAAGATACTCTCTGCTGGATTTTCTAGCTTAATGTCTTTTAAATTTATTTTTACTTTTTAGAGACAGAGTCTCACTCTGTTGCCCAGGCTGTAGTGCAGTGGTGTGATCATGGCATCCTTGAACTCCTGGGCTCTAATGATTCTTCTGCCTCAGCTTCTGAAAGCGCTGGGATTACAGGCGTAAGCCACTGTGCCCAGGCAAAATATCTTTTTAAATATACTACATTATTTCCAGATATGCAGGAAAGGTGAGATGGAAGATATTATCAGATAAGTAAAAGTAATCTACATAAAGGTTGGATATAGATAGAACAGATTTTAAAATCCAAAGTAAAAAAAAAAATTCTCCATAAAAAGAATGTTCATAGCAGTTTTATTAACAATAGACAAAAACTGGAAACAACCCAGGTGTCCATCCAATAGTAAAATGGATAAATTGGTACATCCATACAATGGAGTGCTTAAAAAGAACAAATTACTGATGCATGCAACAACGTGGATGAATCTCAAAAAAAAAAATTACCCTGAATGAAAGAAGCTTTACATAAAAGAGTACATATTGTATTATTCCATTTATATATTATCCTAGAATGGGTAAAATTAATCCATGCTGGGAAAAATCAGAACAATGGTTACCTTTGAGGGGGCACAGGTGGGGACTGTGAAAGAACATGAGGGAACTTTCTGAGGTGACAACACTATTTGTACTATGTCTTCACAGGGGTTTTAATTACAAAGAGACAAATACTTGTCAAAATTTATTGAACAGCATACTTAATATTTGTATATTTCATTGTATGTAAATTTTATTTCAAAAGAAAAAAGAAAACTGCAAACTAATACTGAATTCTAAGTTAATGATATGCCTGAAGGATTCAGAATAAAAAAAGATTACCTGTAGAATCTATGTTGTAGATACATGCATTTTCACTATACAAAGTCAACTTTTCTGCATGTTTGAAAATTTTCATAACAGAACTTGGGCAGGGAAAGGAAAGGCCTTAACTTTCTTGAGATTTTAGTTGTGACATTACAATATGCTGGAAATACATACCCAGAGAATAGTGACAAAACATAAACTATCTTTATTCTAGTTATATATTTGCTTTTAAATTATTTTTTACTATCTTTCAAAAGACAAACTAGAAAAATAGTTGGTTTTCTCTATCATGTGGCTGCTACTATAACTGATTTTTAAAAAATTTTTTTAAGACAGAGCCTCACTCTGTTACCAGGGTTAGAGTGCTGTGGCATCAGCCTAGTTCACAGCAACCTCAAACTCCTGGGCTCAACCCATCCTCCTGCCTTAGCCTCCTGAGTAGCTGGGACTACAGGCATGCGCCACCATGCCCACCTAATTTTTTGTATATATATTTTTAATTGGTCAATTAATTTCTTTTTACTTTTAGTAGAGACAAGGTCTCACTCTTGCTCAGAATGGTTTCAAACTCCTGACCTTGAGCGAGCGATTCGCCCACCTCGGCCTCTCAGAGTGCTAGGATTATAGGCATGAGCCACTGCGCCCGGCCTCAATTAATAAATGTTTAAGAATGAGGAAATAAAATCTCATGAGAACAGTCAAGTATAACTATTGTGAGCAAGATCCAGCAATGGATGTTAAAATCAGTGGGTAAAAGTGTGAGAATATTTGAGAATATTTGAGTCTCTCAGTATCTCTTCCAAGATCTTTATTAAGTACCACGAGAAAAATGGTGATTTTACAACAAAGAAACCCAAGTAGAAACTACCTTAACCAAGTGATCATGGTTAACATCACCAATAATAAGATGTATCAACATCTTCTAACCCCTGAAAAGGGCGCCACATCACTTCTGTGACAGTCTTGCCAAAATGCATAGCCTAAATCTAATACAACAACATCATCAAACCCAAATTGAGAAGCATTATACAAAACAACTAGTAAGTAGTCTTCAAAATTTTCAAGGAAACTAAAAAAACATGAGAATTAAATGCAATGTGGGATTCTAGAAGAGAAAAAGGACATTAGTGAAAAACTAGTGAAATCTGAACAAGTTCTATAATTTTGTCAAGAATCTTACAGCAATGCCAATTTCTTAATTTGATAAGTGTACTATGATTAAAAAGATATTAACATTAGGGGAAGCAGGGTGAAGGGTCAATGGGTCCTCTCTGTACTAATTTCACAGTTTTTCTATAAGTCTAAAATTATTTCAAAATAAGTTAACAGAAAGAAGAATATTCTTATCTACTTAATGAATACTGTTAAATAAATTTTAAAAGTTATTTGTAACAAGCCTGGCTAACTGCCATCTAAAACTGTATTAATGGGCCAAATCATTTAAACCTCTCTGAAATATATTTGTAAAATGGAGTACCTATTGTACATTTAGTTCTTCTCTGAATATTAGAAGTAATTTTCTTTGTGATCAAGCAAGAAAATAGTAAAGCACAGAAGTTAAGACCACATGATTTGACGTCAAACAGATCTGGGTTTCCGATGTCAGCTTTGCTATTTACTACCTCTGTGTCCTTGAGGAAGTTATGTAATCCTTCCATGCCTCAGTTTCCTCCTCTGTACACAATACAGGTGTATGTTGAATTTAGCTTATAGGAATCTTGGATAGAAAGCTAGGATAAAAGTAAATAATGAATATAAAGCATTTGACTCTGATGTAGTACAGAGTAAGAGTTCAATAAAGACTTAAGGTATAACAGAATGAATGCTGAAGAGAGGAGTCACTGTTGCTAAACTTAATAAACTTAGCATAAATATGCATTGTGAAGTACGATAATTCCCATTCATAATGACTGCACGTAACTAAGAAAGAATAAAACTAAATTTGGATATTTTCTTCATAAAATAGAGGTATGTCCAGTACATGTACAAAAGATTTTTCACCCAAAGTAGAAAAACAACACTAGTGTTTTAAAAAACACACTTTCAGCTATCAGGAAAACCTAGCTGTTTTAAAATCATTAGATTTTGGAATAAAGAGACATCAGAGATATTTAAACAAGCAAAGGCCTGGGACAAACAAGCTAGACACATATTAAAATTATTCTAAATAATGAAAACTGATTTGATGGCAATATTTTTATAAATGTTATGCGCCCTTATTTTACTTTTATATTAATACCAGTTTATTAACAATTATATCAATACAAATATAAATTTCTGCTTACACTGGTTTTCCAACATCTACTATTAACACAATTGTATCAAGTATGGTCTCTTTTTAATTGAGTAGTTCCCTAATGTATTCTAAGTTTTAGGATCAAAACCATTAAATGAAATGACAATTACATAACACGACATTATAATACAATAAAACCCAATCTCAAAGCTAATAATTCAACCATAGTTAATATTTATATTGTAACATACAAATGCTAATATGATCAAAAGATTTCAAACAGTAATCACCTGACTGCGCAACCTTCCCCTGATGATATCAGATCACCGTTAAAGAAATTCTCAAATCCATTACAAAAAATGGTTTTCTACATATTTCTCTTATACCTGGAATATGCTAAAGCCCGTGTCATATCTCTGTAATTTTCATGCAGTAATCCAAAACCCTTCACAGGTATAACAAATAAAACTGCACACTTACCAGCACCTTGGGGCCGACTTAACCTTACAGGATTAATTTCAACTTTTTGGACATGAGGCGGGTATTCTTTCCTAGAAAAGGAAATTCATATAGTTTTATTCTAACAGAAAATATAGTTTTCAAAATTAAAAAGCTAAGTGCATACTTATAATATGTTATTAAAAGCAAATCACAGCTTCTTAGCCATACAAAAAATACTATAAAACTGTATAACACAAATATACGAATGCTGAATACATTATAAGATCCCTAAGGAGGGACTCTATGTTCCTTAGAACGTCAATCTATCAGAGCCCGTAAGTCAGACTGTTGAATAAACATTTAATAAATGAATCCAAATTATTGTCCTTTCAAAGTAGCCACTCTGACAAGCTATATACATTTATTCCTCAAATGCACAAACCTTTAGAATTTTTCTTTTGCAATTGCCTTCACAATCAGCTTATAGAAATTATATTAAAAATTCACAATACTTCATATTTGCATATCATATTCTGAATAAAAGAATTCTCAGCTTAATAATACTCAATTAGCCCAATTTTACTGTAAATGTATTTTACTTGTTTAAAAATAAATCAATGAATGAAGAAATAAACGTTGAATAAGATTGTCTTGAGAATAATTCTAAAATCAGAACAAAAAAATGTTATGTACAAAACCAGCAAATCATGGAACAAGTATTTTAGTTTCGTGATATGACTACATTATGGGAGGGGATATTAGTATATTTGTTTTAAAATATTACTTTGTCAAACTTCATATACAATTGATTTCAATGATTTTAAATATAATCTTTAGTAACTAAGGGTCCTAAATACTATGTCATAAGTCCAAATAGACACTAATTTTCAAAAAAAAAGAGCAAAACCCTATACTTAATTGTGGGATGAAAAGATTATATATGGAGAACCTCAAAAAAGTGTAGTAGACCAGGGAGCTACAATAGCTAGATACTTTCCTACCCTAAATAAAAACTTCTAAAAATATTCCCATTTTATTTAACCAGGGAATTAAAAATAAGAGGCTATTCTATTTATTTGTAATGCTATTCGCACTAGTGATCTGTATCTTCTATTTATTAGAGTAATGTAATTCAGTTTAAACAAAAATCCCAAAGAAATTTTCTTATAAGAATTTCATATTTTGATATTATAAAAGTCACATACTACAAATGAAACCAAAATATGAAAATGACATAAAAGAATAATGAGTGGTGATAGTAGTATACTGTAATAAGTTAGAAAATATTAAATGTCATGTGCCAGGTACTGTTCTAAGTGCTTTGTATCTGTTAATTCCTTTAATCCTCATAAGAAAAATACTATTATGAGCACTTCATAGATGAAGAAATTGAGGCACAATGAGGTTAATTAACTTGCCCATTGTCACACAATCATTCAATGGCAATGCTAGAGTATGAATTCTAACAAACTGTACCAATATTGATGAGCAGAACAAGTGGGCAATTTCCATCTTGCCAAAATTTTAAGATTTGTAAGGATATAAGTTATGAAGATGAGAATAATAACGGTCCTACAAGAAAGAAGGTAGGTGCCAGGCATTGGCATGCACCTGTAATCCTAACTACTAGGGAGGCGGAGGAGGGAGGATCGCTTGAGGCTGGGAATTTTAGTCCAGCCTGGGCAACATAGTGAGAACCCATCTCTTAAAAAAAGGAAAAAGAAGGTAGGTTAAATTTTAGCTCCTAACTGTCAGTCCATACACTTTTGCTTTAAAAAGGATATAATGCATCTTATCTCCAAATTGAATAAATTATTTCTTAACCCCCAATTTTTATAACTCTACACTGGGAAAAATTAAAACACCAACTTTAAAATGTAACACAGAGGCAATGAATCTGCAGCAAAATGTACTATTGCAGTAAACTCCCCAATAATGGAGTATATCATATATATTTAAAACAGTGGATAATACATATTTTGAAATAGTCAAGATTATCAACAAGGAAAATAATTCTTTGACAGTTATAAGTGGCCACAGAATTTGGAAATATGGATTTTATTTCCAGTCCAAACCTGCTTGATTACTTTTCTGGAGTACTAAAAGCACAGGTTTATTCCGTAAAAATAACTGACAAATAATTTGAGATGGCAAATTATACATGTGTGCAAAGATTGATGAAAATGCTACATTAACTCTGTATTCTTCGCAGTTTGACAGTGTATTGAACCATGCATTGTTAATAAGGGACAATGTGCTAAATACATCCTGTATTATCTACAACCTTATATATTGTAATGTAATATTAAACTATTACATATGTTTCCTTATATTTCTAGATTTATGTCCACTGTTTTCAATATTTGCTGTTTTCTAACACAAACAGAATAAATTTTTATTTTCAAAAAAACAGCAAGTTGAAGAAATTAAAGCATACTTTAAATACAATAAAAGAATTTCAAAATAAAAATAGTATGTTTGATGAGAATTAAAATAATTTCCTAGCCATAAACTATCTTATTTTCTTTAAAATTCAGTTGTTTTTGTGAATTTTTGCTAGATGATCTCAAATCAAAGTTATGTTAACTCCTTAATTTGAGTGTTTTATTACTCTTACTGGTACAAATTTCAAACTCCAAACTCATATGAAGCTCAAGCCTAGGATTTAATCTCAATGGATATTTCTTCTCCACCCAAACTAAGCCAAGACAGAGAAGCTTCTTTGTCATCTGTAGGTGAGGAGGTTTTTGCTTCTCAGGATCTGTGTTTTGTGTAGAAGTTTTAGAAACCCCACTATATAAACATAAGATTTTTTTTAATAAGCTGCCTAAGATGGACAACCTTTATTTCTCTATCCTGAACTTTTTACATAACATCAAAATGTTTTATTGTTAAAGGTTAGATAAGATCAGCTGCAAGTCTTAAACATAATTTTGAAATAATTTTAGATTTGCAAAAAAGCTGCAAAGATAATTCAGAATTCCCTTATATTCCTCAGCGTAATGTAACATCTTAACAGTACCGTCACAAATATGTCAAAAAAAAAACCAACTATACACTATTACTAACTTAAGACTTTATTAGAATTTTACCAGCTATCCCACCAACACCCTATTTTTTGTTACAAAATACAATCCAGGATACACTGCCATTAAGTCACCAGGTCTCCTTATTTTCACCTCTGTTTCTCAGCTTTTTGTTGTTCTTTGTGATCATAACACTTTGGAAGAGAACTGATCAGGTATTTTATAGAATGCCCTCCAATGTAGGTCAGTCTGATGTTTTCTCATGATTAGACTGAGGCTGTGGGTTTAGAAGAGTATCACAGATATGAAGTGCCCTTCTTATCACATTGTATCATAAGGTAAATGTGATCAGTATGACATCACTGGTCATGTTAAATTAACCTTGATCTCTTGGCTAAGTGTCTTCCAGGTTTCTCCACTATAAAGTTACTATTCTTCTCTTTCCATACTCTCCTGGGAAACAAGTAAGTCAGTCAGTAAGTCCAGCCCACACTCAAAAGGAATGGGGGTAATTAATCTCCACTTCCTGAAGAGAGGAGTATCTACATACATTTTGGTATTCTTCTGTCAGAAACAGTTCTCTCCCAATACATTTTATGCAGCTTGTAAAATCTTATTAGCAAATCCAGCACTGTACCAAAAGTGATATTACTTTCAAGATTGCTAGGATAGTTCAATAAGTAAATTATTTATTTATTTATTTGAGACAGAGTCTCACTTTGTTGTCCAGGCTAGAGTGAGTGCCATGGCATCAGCCTAGCTCACAGCAACCTCAAACTCCTGGGCTCAAGCAATCCTCCTGCTTCAGCCTCCCAAGTAGCTGGGACTACAGGCATGCACCACCATGCCTGGCTAATTTTTTCTACATATATGTTAGTTGGCCAATTAATTTCTTTCTATTTATCGTAGAGACGGGGTCTCACTCTTGCTCAGGCTGGTTTCTAACTCCTGACCTGGAGCAATCCACCCACCTCGGCCTCCCAGAGTGTTACGATTACAGGCATGAGCCACTGCGCCCGGCCTATTTATTTATTTACATCAGTATGACTCACGGATATTTTATACTTAGGGTTATAATCCAATTGTTACAGTTCCGGCCTTTAGGAGCTCTTTCAATTGGCTCCTACGTTCCTTTGATATGACCCTATCCTTTTGTTGTTTTCTTACTGTAATATTAATAAAATATATACAACACAAAATTTACAAAAATGTGTGTAAACATATGTAAATAAACCTTCTCTCTCTCAACTCTATTACTAATTTGTGTGTCATCAACGCTAATTGCCTCTGTATCTTTTCAACATTAGTATATGTGCTGCTGAAGTGAGCACCCCTTTTTTTCAGTATTTGCTAGGTATCTGGCATCACATTCATTTTGTGCTTTACCTATCATGTCCCTAGAATCAGTCATTTCTCCCCATTCTTTTTATGGGAAAATGATATTTAGAAACTACCAGGATCTGGGAATTTTATTTGTTTTTTACCTTGCTTTAATGATAGCTCTTCTTACTGATTTTTCCATTACAAAATAGATGTCAAAAGATGTAAATTCTATAAATCAAATGTATTCCTTTTACAGTTACAATCCATTATTCCAAACATTTTAAACTGACAAGTCAGTTTAATTTTTAAGATGATATATTAAAATCTCCCACAATTGTTTCTAACCAAAACCTTCTTTCATTTCAAATACTATATGGGAGTTTTATACATTTACTTGTTATATCCTTATAAATTGTGCCTATTAACAAAATGTGTTAGGCCGGGCGAGGTGGCTCACGCCTGTAATCCTAGCTCTCTGGGAGGCCGAGGCGGGCGGATTGCTCAAGGTCAGGAGTTCAAAAAAACAAAATGTGTTCCTTTATCTTATATAGTGCTTCTAATCCTTAATTCCATCTCATTTTTTATTAAAATTTCACTCATGCTTTTTGTTTGCATTTCTAATGGCTCCAAACAGACCTTTACTTTCATATTGTTATTTCAGCCTGAGTCTTGTAAACAATATAGTATAGTTATATTGGTTTAATTCAACCAATTTGTCTCTTATTAAATATATTCAATTTGATTACAATTACTGTAACAAT